ACTACATATATAGCTAAACTATAGAAAAAAAAATTCTCTACGTTTTCAACAAAACTCATCAAATAAGTTTATTCCCTTCTGTTTAGGAACCAACCAAGCAACGTAGAAATGTTAATAAATACAATAAAGAAACAACAAAGAACACATGCTCTAACAAAGGAAAACTATTCCTTAAGAAATACTATCGGTATTTAATTCAAGGTATATTGTTTGATTTTATCAACCTGTCAAATTGTATACAGATTTCACGACCAATGTACACTGTCTATATTTATATATTCGATATATGTTTTGTAAGATTGTGAGATATACCCAGCAAGATGCGTTTGATTTTAATTTGTTTCTATGAAATAATTATACTGAGCGTTATATCGTACTGTAAGAGGGTTGTACTACTAGGAGATTGACTATTAAAATGGTGTTTGACCGACAGTTTATTTTGGAAAATTAGGATAAAATTCAAAATCTGCCTAAAATATAAAAAGACTGCCCCACTCTTTTTATAAAGTAAACGTTTCAGGTAAGTTCTAATTGATATTTTTACAGAAATTCCGTTTCGATCCGGGGATTATTTATTGTTTATATGAAGAAAATAAATGAATTAAAAGGAATCATGGCTATATAAAAACTTATTCTGACTTTCACCTGTTCACTCACTGTATACCCTCGAATGAGCATAATGTCACTTTAATGAAGCTATTGTCACAGGTGTACAAATTTACCTATATCATCATATACTAATACTCTAAATTTCAGCAGTATTCCGTAACATTGTAAATCGACTACTCAACGTGATTTACAATAACACTATCTTTTTACCTTTCCTCTTTACTATTCCTTTGTTATTTAAATGATTTTCTATGACGTATATAAGTTTGACCAATAGGGTCAATTAAACAATATATTTTGAAAAAAATAAGATTGTATTGTATACGTTTGGTTTATATAACCTTAACTTAAATCATTTAAATTAATTACATGTGTATAATAAAAGGAATATATTTTGCTACAGGTAATTCTCTTCATATGTTGCATTTGTAAATTGCGTACATCTAATGTTAATAGACTTATATTATTTGAGTTCTGAGATCATTTCTTAGAATATATTTTTCTTTGTGTAATATGATGTCGGCCATTTTGTACATGTATGTTTACATTATTTAAATGCAATAAAATTAAACAATATATTTTGAAAAAAAAAATAAGATTGCATTGTGTACGTTTGGTTTATATAACCTTTACTTAAATCATTTAAATTGATTACATGTGTATAATGAAAGGAATATATTTTGCTACAGCCGGAAGTTGTTTTGATCCGTCATCCCCTGGCCCCAGATATATGAAACTCTACCGTTGAGACGGTCCAGTGCCCTAGACTTAAGAGGGACGTCTGGCGCCTCGGCGACACTATGTCAAATTAAGTTGTTGTGTTTGTTGTTTTTTTTATATGATTTAACCTTGTTTTGGTAAAATAGTCTTTTTAAACAATTAAGTTTAATAATAAATATATACAATTTAAGTTAATTTTAGTTAAAGTTCAATGTGTTAAATTGAAAAAGGGCAATTACAACAAAATTAGACAAGGCAAAGTTATGGTTGTTTTGCACTACATTTCAACTTAATGAGATCTATCTCCCTACAAAATTCATGTTGAAATCTCTTATAGTTTTGGAGCTATGTCCCGGACAAAGTTCAAAGTATAAGAATGAACAAAGAGCAGTAACGTCAAAATTAGGCAAGATAGAGTTATAGTTCTTTGACACTGCACTTCTATCCAAAAATAGTTGTGAAATCCGACTTCAAATAACGAAGTTATGGGCCGGACACGATTTTGCTGCAAGGTCATGCTGTGACCTTGACCTTCAAGGTAGTGACCAAAATGTTGATTGCGACACGTCGTCGCAATATGGTGATCATTTCTGTGAAATAGTTGAAAAATCGGATTTCAAAAAACGACGTTATGGACCGGACACGATTTGCTGCAATAGCATGCTGTGACTTTGACCTTAAAGGTTGAGACCCAAATGTTGCGCGCGACACGTCGTCTCAATATGTTGATCATTTCTGTGAAATAGTTGTGAAATCCGACTTCAAATAATGAAGTTATGTGCCGGACACGATTTTGCTGCAAGGTCATGCTGTGACCTTGACCATCAGGGTAGCGACCCAAATGTTGCGCGCGACACGTCGTCTCAATAAAGTGATTACTTCTGTGAAATAGTTGTTGTAAAATCCGACTTCAAATAACGAAGTTATCTGCGGATGTTTCAAAATTCAAAATTGTTCATAGTAAATGTTGAATTCTCCTTAAGCCGGTGCTAGGGGACGTGGACGGTAGTTTGCATTTAATAGTACCGTCCATGAACAGGCTCAATCAAACCGAGCCGGCAACATTTTCAATTATGCCGTGTTCGGCTTTCTTTAGGGATTCTTATTTTCTGTTTTTATGGGCCGGGCACGAATTCGGGAATTACGTACGGACGGACTGACGGACGGTCGAAATGGATAAAGGGACAATTTCTTTTGTTATTTTCTAGTGTTAAATAGAGGTTCAATGGCCTCTTACTATTTTGTTACGGAGTGAACTCTATTGTTCTCTTTTGTTCTGTTTACAATAAGATCTCTATCCCTATTCGGTTGTGCTGACGGACGGACGGACAACCAGGCGACTATATGCTACCACAAAATCTTTTACTGGTACATGTCCAATACAAAATACAGACGTTAACGTTTTATTTGTTTACTGTAAGTGCAGAGTTTTTAAAGTGTTTTTCCCCATTTCATTTAGCTATCTCACAATGTGAATACGCAAAAAAGCGCGTATTGATATTTCTTTATTCATACAGGATCCACTTTCGTTTTGATATGTTTGTTTCCTTTTTGTTGTTTTCTGGCATCTCCGTGTCCCTAGCAACCACATGTTTGTCCAAAGAAAATATTAATAGAGCGATCTATGATCACATGTGTCGCATCATGATGGCCACTTGCATGTGTCAACTATTGTGTAGAATGAGACACAAAAAATGAACAGGACATTTTTTCATTCAAGGGACATAACACGGTCAAACAATTATTCGACCAGGTAACCCTATGTACACAAGTTCTTGAGCTACAAAACAAATAAGTTTATTTCAAAACAATTCAGTAAATTTTAATTGAAATTGCATTCGGGTTATTAAAGAAGTATTCCTGGCGGATTTAACTTAATACAGGACTGGAGCAGTACCTAAGAACGCTTGCAGAACTCATAATTACAAAATAGACAATTATCGTTTTTTTTGTTTTGTTTTTTTTCCCGCCGATTCTTACATTATTTATTCATTATCATACATGAATCGGTGTGATAAGATGAAATATACCTTTTAAAAGTTCATTCCATTGGGTGAAAAGGCAACATTTTAGCATTTTAGTATTCAAGCGCCCTGTCAGGTATATACCGGAACACGGTATTTAGTGTGGTGGTCTTATCTTTTTTGACAAATTTTAGAAATAAAAATCTTTAAAAGGCCAACTCTGAAAAAAATCATTGAACAAAAAAGAAAAATGCCGACTATACGCACAACAATATTTGTTACTGATAATTCCTGTTTGGGTGACATTGAACCATTAGTTTTTGAATAGAAGTCTAGACAAGCTTCTTTGTAGATGGCAGCACACACAAAAACAACCTTTTGAATTGGAGGACCATAACTCGGCCATAAAACATTCAAGCGAAGAACCCATGTACTGTGCTTAAAGACTTCAGCTACAGATCAATACTATATGTTCCATTGAAATTGCATTAGTGGTATAAAAGGAGTAGTCCGAATGTCTCTCCCCTCTTTGTGTACAACACAACAAGTTTTTTGTTTTCTAGTATACTTATCATACAAAATCTTGTATAATGTTGTATTGTGATGTTTATCATGTCTTTGTGTTTATTCATTTCATAACATTGTCTGTTTTGTTTATGTGTATTTGCACTTGATGTTCTTCTATAAATGTTGTGTATTATGCATGCTGCTCTCCTATGATAGAGGTAATAAAGAATCTATTTATCTATCTATAATATTTCAATGTTAACTAGCAAATATGCGAGTTGAACGCACATTTATACACCGTGTATCTCCAGTAACGCCGGAATGTGAAAATAACGCACGATTCGTTCAACAAGAAAAACAGAATTGTGCAATAAATAAAAATGTTTAGTAAATGTCACTTGCCTTAAAAACCGAAATTATACTGTATAATATGCATTGTTGTACTTATAAGAGTCGACAAAAAGGCAAAATCTCGCACAAAACGTCAAGCCATCATTTGCACGAATGATCTTGAAAAGTAAGGAATTTTGTTGAAGGATAAAGAGCATTGTCTTCGCAGCCGTATGCGGTTGTTCATTTTTTCTGTTCGGTAAAATAAAAGATATATTGGCCAGTTTACTTACCGCGTTGGAAATCCTGTCAGGTAGCCGCCATTTCTTGCACAATTCTGCTTTACTTATTGCACGAATCGTGCGTTACTTTCATATTCCGGCGTTACTGGATATACACGGTGTTATAGTGTGAAGCGTTTATTTTTTTGATGTTGTTTTGAAGGGCGGTTTGTTGATTCGTTGAAGTTGGTTGAATTTAATTGCTGTGATCTTAAATTGGTTGTAATTAGTTGTTTTGGTTGTTGTCTTTTATTTGGTTGTTGATTTTTGTCTGTTTGGTAAGAAATATTTGATTGATATTGGTTGAATTTGGGTCGCCCGGGTCAAAGTCAAATGCTCTACCTATTTAGCTAACCGGACGATTTAGAGCTTTTAATAGCATCACCAAATCTTTAAAATGCAGATATATCGATAACAAATTTGCATTTGCTTTATATATTTTATAAAACGATGTAGAATTGTCTAAATACTGATAGATTGTCATCATTCCTGAGGTTAATTTTAATAATGGTGTTTTCATAGTACCTTGGTATAACCGGTTTTACACTGTTGATTTAATACATTATTCTTGTATATGTATTTAGCACATTTATGAACTGTCTACATCTATCTTATTCATGCTCCCACCCCCTGCAAAACAAAATGTTTTATACTAAAAAACATTCAACCAGAAAACACGTGCGATTTGCGCAAGTACCACGGTGTCAAGTGTATACGCATCCTTTTTCCGTGTACCGTCGATAATTTATCATCCTGCGCGCAGTGCTCACCGTATCATTTTAGACAAAACAAACACTTTAACACAACATGCATGATGGAAAATGATCTGAAAGTCACACGTTTGAAGTAAGTGTATTCATTAAAGTGTGTCTACGGAATATTTTGATCATTGAAGCTTATGTCTTTAGCTAGTTTTTATCAAAGACTTTTACGATTTCTTTGTTTTAATGAAAACAGCTAGAGCTGGCTTGGGGAAAATGAGCATTTGGAAAATTTCTAAAAGAGATAATTATGTTGTCAATCAAAATATTTATTTAATATAACTGTTAGCATCAAAGATATATATACACAGACTCTTGCACGCAAATTTAAGCCGTTAAATATCTTTAAAAAAAGTCATAAAAGTGTGACAACTGACCGAGTTCTTGGTACCGTATCATGGGTCCGCACCGAAAATTGTGACACCGTATACATTAGCGCTGGACTTGCACCGTATCATTATGATAAACCTTATGTTGAAAAATCTTATTTGTATTTATTTATTGTTGTCCATCTAGACGAGACCTGTAGATGTATATTTATTATTTTTAAACCAGAGGAAAATGCATAAATAGAAGCAAGCCTGGTTCTTTTGTGTGCCCGGCGTAAATACGTGGGACCACGGTCATATTCGAAAGAATTCGAGTCGATACTTTATTATTAAGATCAGTTCGATTAACACAACTTGAGTACAAATCGCTAACATTCTTGTACATGTAAAGAAGCAAGTTTTTAGTGAAAATGTTATGTATATTTAACACAAATATGGATATATAATTGTCACCATTTTATACATACTCTTTGAGATAGTGCTTACGGAGAGAGTTTAAAAAAAATTGAAACGTCTGACTTGGAATTCTGGCATCGCTTGTCAAGACTCGAACCCCGCCAGCATGGCCATGTTTCATTGGGCAAGAAACTTACATTGTTGTGCTTAAAGTTATCTATAAGTTTTATAATTATAGTCTATCAATAACTGGAACTACAAGGAAAAATACAAGAATGCCGACACAGACATGTAATCGATACAGTACGAGTTTTCCTTCAAAAGTGTCTTCTTACAGACATAAGAAGACAGTTTGAAGAAAATACGAGTAACTGTATCTGAATTATACGACATTTAATTGTAAAGAACCGATAAATTAATAAACACATTTAATTATAAATAGATCTATGTATGTTCACGTTGAAAATATAAAACTATAGAAACTATTTGCATTTAAGCTTTGGGCAGTGAAAGGTGTAGGTAAATTGTATTCGCACGGAACTTTCGTGCACTTAATCAATCGGACATAATTCACTTTCATTTGTGATAAACAATGGTAAAATGGCTGCCATCAATTAAAAGAATGTCAAATTTACTAAAATTGATAATGCCAGTCAACATTGAAATCGTCTCTAACTTGTATTGCGTCAATGTTGTACGGATTACGTTTTGGACCCCAGATTTAGTAAGTTTCCTTATTCACATTCTTACCTTAACGCATTGTTCAGCCGTTTATGGCAGTTGTTTTTTACTTGATTTTTATGTGCGTGGGCGGTGGGTACAGTAAATGTCACTTTAATGTTGTTTTTACAGAATGTCAGACGATATAAAAAAAAACAACAACTAAGTGTTGTACCATCTTCCAACGAATAACTGTTAGTTTCGTCAATGCTAAAATCAACAGTTACTTTGTTCCTGGAAATGGCCGTCCAATTTCTCGATAAACTGGATTATCTCATGAGATGCGCACTACTTTCCAACTGTTTCTATAGTGTCCTGTTTGAGACAGTTAAAATATCGCGTGTTAAGATTCACTAAATCTCTTGTTTTAGCTCCAATATTCGAAAAATAGGGAGAGCTATTGTAATTGTGAATTTTGACAGAACTATCGCGCTTATTGAAAAATCTTAAGGCTCTATAAAAATACAGAAAGGCGGACACAACTTTAAGAAAAAATCCTGCTTATCAATAGCAGTCCTTTAAATGGCCCAAGATGGACACCGTATATTTCATTTGTACTAAATCCATGTGGAAAGTAACGGTTATTTAAAAGTGTCTTCTTACTATAGTGGCTGATTTGGAATGCTCTTGTGCGTTAACACGCTAGCGCCAACACGACAAAGCGCCAAGCGGTGCATTGTCGGGCTTTCGTCTTGTCGTCATGTCGCTAACGATGTACGCCAAACGGTGCGTTGTCGTGCGGCGTGTTGTCGCAATGTCACATTGTCGCTCGGTTTAAATCGAAGGATTGGCTTATAAGCCAAGCGACAGGGCGACATCACGGCTCACGACCACGCGCCGTTTGGCGTGCTTCACTAGAGACAGGACGACAAGACGAGAGCGCGACAACGCGCTGTTTGGCGCTTTGTCGTGTTGTCGCTAGCGACAAGACGAAAAGGCGATAACGATACCGACAACGCAACCAGTAATGTACCAAATGAGCCCACCATATCTTACAGACGTAAGAAGACACATTTTGAATAGCTCTGCTGGGGGTATGGTCGTATAATAAATAATACAAGAAGGATAGCTCAAGCACATAGTTGCCACCTTTCTTAAATTCAGTAAAATGCGTAAGTTACGATGCCCAGTCAATTAGTTAAGTAACTAAAATTCAAATGTAAAAAAGAAATACTATTTTAGAAATATGACTTTGGCTTGCTTGTGTGTTGTATTAACAAATTTGAGAGTAAAAGTTTAATTACTGATATCAGCAAATATTATGCGATTCCCGAGTTGAACTCCACAACAGACATTAAATGCAACTGCTACGAAAGCATAGAATTTCAATAAAAAATTACCTTTTACACGGTGATAGGGCGATTACCACAACTTTTCCGCGCAACGTCAAAATATCGTCCTTCTGACCGAGACACCGTATATTTCTGGACAAAATATTAATGGCGGGATAAACAAATTCCAGGTAATAGCTTACAAAATATCTTACTGCTGGACATTGCAAGATTATGCCAATTGTTTAAGTATTCCATCGAATTTCTGAGACAATTTATTGTTAATCTAGCACAATACAAATCACACAAAAACACATACTTCGAAGAAATAGTGTTTACAAAAGATCGTGTGTACCTCAACATGACTCGTACATGTCACAAAAAACATGTGTTATAACGACGATGTCTTTGTTCTATGACATAACGAGCTCGTATATTTATTATGGTTAACCCTAAGTTCAAGTTCCATACAAAATTGTGTGTTTCTATCGTAAATTTCAGGGAATATTTGTTGAAAAAAGGCCAACTGACCCGAATATTGGAGCACCGTACAATACTGAATAAAAACACCGCATTCTTTTTCCGTTAGACCGATAAATACTGGAACCGTCTTCTTTTGAATTATACAATAATCTTATAAATATGTTTCATAATTTTTATTTGATGAAAGTTTGATGAAAGATTGTTTACTTGCTGTTATGTTATGTCATACGTTATGTTATGGAAAATTTCTGAAGGTCTGGTCTGTGTAAATACTACCAGTTAGATAAGTGCAATGGTATCTATATATAGATAAGGATGTCTTTCCTTTTCGAACTTATTCAAACTGATAAACCCAACATGGAAAGATTGAAGTTCTTGGCAGACTAAACCATCAAACAACACCGAGAAACAAAAGGAATGAACTATTTGTTAATGGGAATTTCTTATTGCATACTAATTTGATAAAGTTGCAAAAATCATAACACAAATTTTCATGGTGTAGTTTTGCAGGAACCCGGGCAATATTTCCATAATATCTTCAGTCATCGTCTCCAATGTGCCTTTTTAAACAATCTTTTGCAAAAGTGACTTCATATTCTTTTTCTTATGTGGTGCGTTACGCATATCATCCTGAAATACAGGGAGGCGCTGATCCATTGGCGTACTGCTGATATCAGAAGACTTAGTTGGGCGCTCTCCAGTTGCTGCAGTATCTGCAGCTTTGCCAATTTCGCACGTTGCTTTGGCTTTTTCAGACATAAGTTTGAACGTCATCTTTTTCTGAAAGCAAACATTAATATAAAAAATCAACGGTGCTAAAAAATGCGGTGATTTTAAGGAGGAATAATGCGGTGCCCTAATCTTATGATTGACAAAGTTGTGCGGTGCCTTAAAATACACACGTGGAAACATAAAAATCATACCAAATATACAAAAAACGGGTAATTTATGTATTGTAACTTGTTCAGACGACAATAATGTACATATTTATATTGTATTTTGACCAGTTATATGAACTGAACGGACTAGAAATACGTAATATTTCGTAATCAAAGCAAGATTTTTTTCAGTATGCCCTAAATGTTTTCACTATCCTCACTTAATTAATGAAGCATTTTGCATGTAGTAAAGATAAATAAGTTTCAAATTAAATGGCACATTCGATGAAAAAAGAAAAAATGATGATTTTACCTTGTTTTGAGCAAAGTATATGCTGTTTTCGTCTCGGTTACAGGCTTGCTGTCCATTTTGTACCACAGAAATATACGGTGTCTCGGGCAGAAGTAAGATATTTTGACGTTGCGCGGAAAAGTTGTGGTAATCGCCCTATCACCGTGTTTTTTAAAAAACTATAGAGTTCCAGATTGCTTCCAGGCCAAGGTAATCCACTTCCCCGCTTACCCTTACCGATAACCAAACATTTACCTTTTCTTATCAATCCTACAATAAAAAATAACATACCCCAAGAAAAAAATATATAAAAAACACGGTTAACACATTTTAAAGTACATGTATGCAGTATTACCGCGCAAAAAGAAGCGGTGCCATGGTTCTGCATGATGCGGAACCATGTTTATCAATTTTTTCTTGATTTAACAAAAATATTTTGCATTATTTGTATAAAATTGGTATGTTATCAGCTTGTATCAATGCTTGTTGTGATCATTTGCCATATGATACTTCTTCCGACAACTTTACATTCGGAAAAGGATGAAAAATGTTCGCATCGAGAACAAAAATGTTTCACATGTATAAAAGTGTTTTTGTGAGTTTCAGGTTATGATAGACACATATTGTTGCAAAATATTTTGCACACATAGACGAATTATTCAAAACGTCCCGGAAGTTCCGTGGTGTATGCAAACTCTCTAAATACAATCAATTTAAGTAAGAAATTTTCGCATTTTTGAAGTTACCTCTTGCACTTTTCAGAAGATTACGTAAGAATGATACGGTGCTGCGCGTAGGATGATATATTAGATCGGCGGTACGCGGACAAATGATGCGTTTAACCTTGATACCGTGAGTACTCGAACTACAAATAAGTGTAGGATATCGACCGAGTACGAGGTCTTTCTGTTAGGAAAGACCTGGTCACGAATTTCATGTGACACCGAGAGCGCGTAGCGTAGGTGAAAGGCGCGATTTAATAAATGTTAAATGTGTTCTAACTTTTGAAATGCTATCCATTTATTTTATTCTAAGATTTAATATAGGAATGTTAGAATAATTGCTTAGTGCATTCAATAAACATTATCTTGTGTAAAAAATGTATCCAGATTTCGTAAGACAGAAATATTAAGACAATCATAATCTATTATACATTTATTTTCATTTTCAATTTTGGATTACATTTCATGTTTTCCTTTCTACGCATAGGCAGGTCTATTATTTCACGTGTTTTTCATGACCGGGTCTGTCTGCAAAAGATTGACCTCATAACGGACTTTCTTTTGTTTAAACAGGTCTATCCGAAAAATAAAGACCTGTCACAAACAATAGAGGAGGTGTGTAAATACTGTAAAGTTTCACTACACACATGAGCCGCGCCATGACAAAACCAACATAATGGGTTTGCGAACAGCATGGATCCAGCATGGATCCAGACCAGCATGCGCATCCACGCAGTCTGATCAGGATCCATGCTGTTTGCTATCAGTTTTTCTACTTGTTATAGGGTTTGTAAGACTTTATTGTTCACGAGAACAAAAATATATTTGAATACATTGAATAAATCAAATCCGAAAGACAAACAAATAAAAACATACAATATTGTTTTAAGAACTTCTATATCAAATGAAAAAGATTGACCTTAATCATGCACCATTATTTACAAAAAAAAACAACATATTTAAATGCAATAGTTTATAATTTAATTCTTTAAAGCTTGTAAATGTACAAGCATATGTGTTCTCATATTTCCCTTCCTGTTAAACCGTTAACCGCAAACCTCACATTCAAACGGCTTCTCTCCTGTATGTAGGTGACGAGATAAACCGGAAGAAGATGGGAACGGTCGGCTGCATATAGGACACACGTGCTTCAATGACGGTTTCTGAATGTCGTCATTTCCGGTACCTCTAGAATCGTTCACAGAGTCTACAAAACAAGAAAAGTAACGTTGTAATTTGACTATTCCATGTAAAAATTATCAAAACTAGAAAATGTAACAGTACATTTATAATAATATAACGATATAATATGGAATTTTATATAATCAAAGTCATTTGAATAATCAAATGCAAAGAAAACGATGTGGGTTAGTCAATCACCATTAACAAATTAATATGTATTCATAGAGTTATGACATGCACTTCTAAGGCTTTTCTAGCGACGGTAAGCGTGCAGTTACATAATGCTTATATTTAAATTATAACGTTACATGTGGATGAAGAGAAATATTATTCCATTCAGCTTTCTATATGTTATATACCGGTATTTTTTTCAGTGAAAAAAAAACTTTATCAATTTCTCTCTCGGTGGAAACATACCTTTATTTCTATGTGAAATATTTACTACGATATTTTTGTAACAGTTACATACATCTAGTGCATATTGATACGTGACCTGTCTAATTCTTATTATCAGATTAGTGAATACAAATAAGAATTTCACCACAGCATATTTGTTAACAGAAGAGCACATATCAATGTTTGCGGTAAAATCTATTGCTATTTAAATAAAAGGTCAAAGTAGGAATCTATCAATATTTTTCTTAGAGAAATATAAACTTATCATTTTATCTATATTCTATTTTTCAGCAAAAATATTTTATTTTTTTAAGCAGAAAGCATACTTTAAAATTTAATCTCACTGAAATAATCTTTTTTAACCCTCATAAACTGATATGTAACCAATATTTCTTTCAGTCTACACTCTTGTGTTGAGTTTAGACAGTCCATCATAGTTTTCGATAAGCCCTCTATAATTTACAATATTTCACGGTTTCCCATTGTTATTTCATTCCAGTCCATAGTTTAGTTTATGCTTTAATAAGTCTACAACATATTTTGTTTCATGCATATTTTATTACATTGCACGGTTTTCACGTGTTTTGTACCAGTGTGTAGGTAATATATTCGGTGTTTTACTAATTGTTTCTCACTCGAGCAGTATTTGACAGCTTTTAACACGTTCTTTAGAGTTATTTAGAATACTATGTCGCGGGAAAATTCGCCACCACGTGCAAGTTTTTCAACAGTTTCCAAGGGAAGAAGTTGTCTCCGAATTGAAGGGTTATTTTGATGACAAATTTAGTTCGCTTCAACGTGATTTGAAACGTGATGCTGAGTGGACTGTTTCTTCAGCGACAAAGAAGTAAAAAAGGATTCTTTAATTTCATTCAAGTCTTATCAGAACAGGAAACAGTTCCGAGTTCAATAACACTGTTTTAGACTTACTTGACAATATTGATAAGGCAGTTTCATACAGAGAGGCGTCTAAAGCTAAGGACTTTCTTGCTGAAGCTAAGGATGCTATAACTCATAGAAATAAATTGATACGTATTGCTGACGGTTCAGATCTTGGGTGGTCTACCATAAATGAGTACGAGTTACTGGAAGTAGCGTCTGATTCAGATGATGATAAAGAATTCGTCGTGCTGAAGAGCGCGCTAAAAAGAAGGCTGATAGAAAATGCTTATTTTTAATGATAACAGTTTTTGCTAGTTCTTTTCGTAACAACAGAATTTCCAGAGCCGCAGAAGGACGTCGTTTTGGTCACGGAGACGTGGAAGGACGACGTTACGTTTCAGGCAGACTTGGAAGGACGACGCTCCTCTCTTGGATACCTGGAAGGACGACGTTTTGTTCCGGGAGAAGTCATTTGTTTCCAGTGTGGCAAGAAGGGCATTATGCCAATTTCTGTTCCTCACACCGAAGAGCTATCATGGTGCAGCAATCTAGGAACAAAACAGCTTCAGCAGCAGCAACTAATTCTGATGCCACCCAACTCCTCGCACCAGAAGACAACAAACAAGAATGATATGTGTGTAAGACTATCGAAATATGATAAGTATTTACAATTTTTGTCAGTTAGATGAATGTACTGTTTGCGAATTACAAAGAATCTCAAGTAACTGTACAAACAAACTCTGTTAAAGGTAGATTAAAAAGTTGTATTTCGTTTGGAAGGACACTATTCGGCCTTCTAACAATGAAATAATTTCTTTTATAGAACAAGGTTATGTTATTCCGTTTGTTGACAAACCTCCTTTTTTTTATTTAAAGAATAACAAGTCGGCTTTAAAGAACAAAGAATTTGTAGATTCAGCTTTACAGGATCTGTTAGATAAAAAGTGTGTGTATGAAACAATGTTTAAGCCATATAACATTAATCCATTATCTGTTGCCGAAAATTCGTCTGGCAAGAAACGTCTCATTTTAGAATTTTTTGGTACGGAACATTTCACTAGTAGAGTGCTTGTTATACGCAATATTGTAGGGGAGATAACTGTAAAATGGGTTTTAATTTAACACTCGTTTATTATTACCTTTGTATATTTTTGTCAATTTGCAGGCTTGTTTGATTCATGTAGATGGAAAGACTTAACAGACACATGCAACAGTTCTGGTCTTCCGATGTCCGTTGTTTCAGAAGTAAAACGCACTATTTTGGGTAGCAGAGAACATAGTACAGTGAAAAATTATATGTATGCTTTTGAAAATTTTTGTAATTGGTGCGATAAATGCAAGTTATTTTTTTTGCCAGCTTTGCCTGTCACAATCGCGCTTTATTTAGTTTCGCTTATTCAGATGAATACATATTCATGCGGGAAATCTAAGTTAAATCAAAATTTCTATGCTATAAATTGGGCGCATGAAACTGCGTATTTTAAAGAAAATCCTTGTCAAGATAGATGGATTATATTATGTTTAGAAGGCTGTATAAGAAAGATTTCGAGGCTTGTACAGAAAAAGAGCCTAATACTCCTGATGTGCTGAAATTACTCATTAAACGTTTTGTTTCTGAAAAGTGTTCATTGGCAGATTTAAGAATTGTTACATTGTTTGTGATTTGTTTTGCTTTGTTTTCAGAAGGTCTTTATTTAAAACGTTGTCACATTGATTTCAAAGATCATTGTTCATTATATATTGAAAATGCCAAACAGATTTATATAGAGAAGGAAATTATGTAGTTTTGGCAAAAACTGGAAAGTTTTCATGCCCGGTGCAATTATTACATAGATATATTACAGAGGCTGGTTTGATTGAATGTTATGATCAGTTTATTTTAGAGCTGTAGTGTTGTGTAAAAAGTCTAACAAGTATGTATTAAAACGTAAAAATGCTCCACTTTCTTACTCGAGAACACGGGAACTTTTTTAATCAAAAAACTTACTTCGATAGGACTAGAAAGTCATCAATACGGTTTGCATTCACTAAGGTCAGGTGGAGCTCTTATTTGTGCTAATTCTGGTACTAATGATAGACTGTGGAAAAAACATGGACGTTGGCGTTCAGAGACAGGTAAAGATGGATATGTTGAAGACAGTTTGAAAACAACGTTTGTCTGTGTCACTAAATCTTAACATTTAATGAATTCGTGCAGCTTATGTTGAATAACTTTTTATAATATGAAGTGATTATATGCTTGTCATTATATTCAGTCAATGATCGATTTAATTGTGGAATAAAATACTAGTTTTATAATCTTATATTTTGTGTAAGTGTTATATAGATTTATCATGAGTAATCATTGGTGTGATTTGACAAGGCTTCATACAGACGACAACAGATATAATTATACTATTTTAAGATAAGTATTATTTTTAAATATTAATTATTCATTTGATATCATTATTTCAATTGTTAATTATTATACATATTCTGTTATGTTTTGTTTATATTAAATATATTTATTTCTACATCAGTTAATGAGTGTACATGTTTATTGAGATAATTTAATTTTGCTGAAAAGGCTTTTACTTTTCAGTTTTTAAATCGTGGAATATAAAATTGTTTGTTAGAATTTTTCAGGTGATCAACTTATATTTTGTCGTTGTTGTTTATTTTTTGTGTTTTGTTTTTATAGCGTCATACGATGATTGACATGGGATTTTGACGTTTGTCATGAAAATGGGAAGATCTATTGTGTTTGCAAGTTACCAAGGGCTTTTGATTCCAATTCTTGTTAACGATTCATCGTCATGGATGAAATACAAAATGCTTGCAATCTTCTCCAGCACACAAATTTGCAGATAAGTATTTATTTTCAAAGTTGATTTAATGCTGAGATAGCTTACCAATTTTATCGTGATGGTGAGATAGCTCACCGAATTGTTTTCTGATGCTGAGATAGCTCACGATTTATTTTGTGATGCTGAGATAGCTCACCGATTTGTTTTTGTGAAGCTGAGATAGCTCACTGATTATATTTTGTGATGCTGAGATAGCTCACCGATTTGTTTTGTGATGCTGAGATAGCTCACCGATTTGTTTTGTGATGCTGAGATAGCTCAACCGATTTGTTTTGTGATGCTGAGATAGCTCACCGATTTGTTTTGTGATGCTGAGATAGCTCACCGATTTGTTTTGTGATGCTGAGATAGCTCTATGATTTATTTTGTGATGCTGAGATAGCTCACCGATTTATTTTGTGATGCTGAGATAGCTCACCGATTTGTTTTGTGATGCTGAGATAGCTCACCGATTTGTTTTGTGATGCTGAGATAGCTCACCGATTTGTTTTGTTATGCTGAGATAGCACACTGATTTATTTTTGTGATGCTAAGATAGTTCATCCATTTGTTTAGTGATGTTGGGAAAGGGTCCTTGTTTTTTTTTTTTTTTTTTTTTTTTTTTTTTTTTTTTTTTTTTTTTTTTTTTTTTTTTTTTTTTTTTTTTTTTTTTTTTTTTTTTTTTTTTTTTTTTTTTTTTTTTTTTTTTTTTTTTTTTTTTTTTTTTTTTTTTTTTTTTTTTTTTTTTTTTTTTTTTTTTTTTTTTTTTTTTTTTTTTTTTTTTTTTTTTTTTTTTTTTTTTTTTTTTTTTTTTTTTTTTTTTTTTTTTTTTTTTTTTTTTTTTTTTTTTTTTTTTTTTTTTTTTTTTTTTTTTTTTTTTTTTGTTTTTTTTTTTTTTTTTTTTTTTTTTTTTTTTTTTTTTTTTTTTTTTTTTTTTTTTTTTTTTTTTTTTTTTTTTTTTTTTTTTTTTTTTTTTTTTTTTTTTTTTTTTTTTTTTTTTTTTTTTTTTTTAATTTTCAAATTTTTAACTGCGGTCAAAAAAAAAAGGCAAAAAAAATTCTTTTTGTTTTTTTCGTCAAAAATTAAAAATTATCAATTTGGAAAAAACCCGTTTTTATGAAAGAATTAAATTTCTTTCAACTAAAATTTTAAAAAACCCCAAATTTCCAAAATTCCACCTAACCCCGAAAACTTTAAAAAAAAATGTTTTGTTTTGCATTTATTGTTTTGGACTTTATAATTTCCACACTTTATTTGTTTTAAATTGGTTTCTATTGCTCGATTGAAAGTTGTCAAATACAATGCCTAAATCCTATTCTGTTGTTTTGGTTTCTTTCTAGTAAGATTATAACATGGGATAAGTGAATAATTGTTTTACTCACGACACAGAGTGAGTAAATAAAATTATTCACGTTTCCCATTGTTATTTCATTCCAGTCCATAGTTTAGTTTATGCTTTAATAAGTCCTACAACATATTTTGTTTCATGCATATTTCATTACATTGCACGGTTTCACGTGTTTTGTACCAGTGTGTAGGTATATATTCGGTGTTTTACTATTGTTTCACACTCGAGGCAGTATTTGACAGCTTTTAACAAGTTCTTTAGAGTTATAGTTATTCCCTCTTCCCGCCCTCCAAGTTTCTAAGAAAGGATGCTATTAGTGGTTTTCAGAGTATCGTTATAAAAATTATGTTTTCATTTATCATTATTAATATAGTTTCAGTATATTTCAGGTTTATCGTTGGACGAATATGCATATGGCTTTCCGAATTCAGCTATACAAGAAACTGTACTAGGATGATAACTTGAGCCTTTGTTTACATAACAAAGACCAATAACAATGCAAAAAATAGGTTAGGCAGATCAATGCCACAACCTATAAAAATGAAAATAAAACTACATATTAGCATGTGACTTGTTAGCGCAGTAGGTAGGGGCAACCGTGTCAGTATTGTGTTTTACCCGTACAGGCAGAAGTTCGACTACTGCAGTACGACACATTTTTTTTTACTTCAGAACAGCCAATTTTTTCAGAAAACAAGGTTGACCGTTTTTTTTATATACATACATGAATATGATATCAAATATTTTATTACACTGCGATCGAAAAATACAAAAAGAAAATAATAGAAGGGAATTAAAAAAAAATATATATACTATATGATATATATTATAAGAAGAAAACAAAAAGGAAAACAAAAAATAAATAAAGAATAATGATAAAAAACAGAGTAAGAAGAAAAAAACTGTGATTATGAAATGACACTAATTGCGGTTCGAACCTAAGAGTACAAAACACTAAAACAAAAAGTTACAATTACTCCGACCTACCGACAGAGCCATAACGGTAATACACAAATGCTTTTGTAAGAATAATGCTATATAGTATATGTAAGTGTTTACTTTTACGATATCGGATAATAATCCGGGTAACCCCGTTTTTCGACTTTCCCATGTACCGTTAAGACCAAATTATCATCTTAGGACAGTACTATCTACAGGATCCAATGGAACTGTTGTATACCTGAAGAGATTTTAACACGATCCAAACTACATGAATTTATTTGTTGAAAGTTGTCAAATACAATGCCTAAATCCTATTCTGTTGTTTTGGTTTCTTTCTTGTAAGATAATAACATGGGATAAGTGAATAATTGTTTTACTCACGACACAGAGTGAGTAATAAATACTTTACTTACATAATTATAAGCTACCAATACCTTTGAAAATAATCAATAAGTGCTAACCGAGATAATAGAAAATAACCTAAGGAAAATGATTATTTTACCGTACGATTAACAAGTTAGCCATTTCACTCTAGTCACCTATTAGAGAAACAGTCTGTCTGTAAACTATGAACAATTTAATTTACATAACGGTTAAATATAATTTAGCTTATTAAAAAAATCTTTTTTAATACACTACGACTTCATGATGTAAAATCAATGATAAAACATTTCCTTAGACACTCAAATATTCTTAGTTTCCCAATGTGAGCATGTACGTCATCAATCTTAAACGACATAATTCTACATATGAGTTTTATATAGGCAACGCCAGCAGGACTAAAAAATACGTTGCATAGAGACGCAAGCAGGACTGAAATACGTTGCATAGAGACGCAAGCAGGACTGAAATACGTTGCATAGAGACGCCAGTAGGACTGAAATACGTTGCATAGAGACGCAAGCAGAACTGAAATACGTTGCATAGAGACGCCAGTAGGACTGAAATACGTTGCATAGAGACGCCAGCAGGACTGAAATACGTTGCATAGAGACGCCAGCAGGACTGAAATACGTTGCATAGAGACGCCAGCAGGACTGAAATACGTTGCATAGAGACGCCAGCAGGACTGAAATACGTTGCATAGAGACGCCAGCAGGAAGAATGACGTTGTATAGAGACTCCAGTAGGTTGAAAAGCGTTTCATAGAGAATGTAACCTTTATGCTTCATTCTTATAATTAATTTTATCAGGCGACGCTGAAAAGGCGTTGGCGCGCGCGAACGGCCACCTGAACAGAACATGAGATTTGAAACCATAACCCTCCGAGGGCAAAAAGATGAGATGTAAAATAACTTGAAGTTAGGTACCTAGAACCATTTACGTCCACTTATCTTAGTCTGCACATCATGTGAATATACTGAATATCAATTTTGTAACTAATATTCACTTCAAGTAGATATATTGACGCCATTTAAGAAATAAAATATGACGTAATTTCCGGGGGGAAGAACAGGTCAATGTTTGAAAAAGACGGTAATTAAAAAACAAAAATTAAATAAAATGTATTTTTGATCGATACAACATTTATTATGTATAATTATTTCTATTATGCGATTATATATGTTATGTGAAACATGTTTCTATAATATGTTATTGTACTTTATACAACTAAATATAAACATGTATATTTTGTAATGTAATATTACCTTAACAAGCTGCCATGACAATATGCTATTGTGTTTTTATATTCAATGTATTTATGAGTATGGGCCTGTTGCCTGAATGCAAATTTGAAGAAAAAGATAAGATAAAAATAAATAAATAAAGGTCTCTCCCATTTTCATCATGAAAGTTGCAAAACCAACTTGATAAATAATGTAGATACAAATGAAGGAAACACCTAGCAAACTGTTCAAATATTTATTTTTATTTATTTTTTTAGAAACAAGATTACAGGTCTTTTTTAAGTTTAAAAAAAAATGACACCCGAACAAATTTAAACGTATAAAATTACATGTACTTTTATCTTTACTAAAACAACTTGATTTCGGATAAGGAAAAGTCTTAATTCATTGAATTTTATGAACATTTTCCAAATGAGTTTCTAAATGTTGTTTCAAGACAAATTGTTTCAAGCAAAGTTCACAGTAATATTGTCTCTCTCCAGTATGTGATAACATATGTCTACGGAGATGTGACGGTGACTGCAGCAATTTCTCACATACGTGAAACATATTACTGTCCAATTTCCTTCCGTATCCTCTCTTTCTACTTCCGGACATTTTCTCCATGTTGTACATATCTGTAATGAAAACAACCAAAATTTCACCTGTTGTTTTAAATATATAAACCTTAATGCTATGTTCAGAGGAGTGCTGATCGCTAATGTTGTAAGAACTTCAACCCTTTTGCTATTTGTTGGGCTCAACCCTTTTGTTATTTGGTGGGCTTAACCCTTTTGCTATTTGTTGGGCTCATAAAATGTTTGCGAATGTTTTTTAATATTTTAAAGCTTAAAATGGATTTTTAACAGTTTCTGTTACATTTCACTTACAGTTTTACGTGAACTGTCTGGACATATGATTACAAGTATTAGATTAACGACACTCAGGAAAGTGTCAAATTAAAAGCATCAGAACATTCAGTTCGAAATATTTTAGCTTTAATGAGTACATTTCTAAATGTCTGACAATCGTTAACTGGCACTTTCTCTCAATAATTGACATAAACTGTACATATATGAAACATTTTAGTTAACAAGTAATGTGTGTATATTTTAAACATCCCTATCCTACATATAAACAAACAGGACGTCTGTGAAAAGTAAAACACTTCTATTATTGTGAAGAATGGTGACCATGTTTTTACAGCAGTGTAGACAGTTATAAAAACAAACCTATTAATGAAATTACAGAACTGATTATATTTGTGTTTCTTCAGTCTATATAAGGAATAATAACAAACCTATTAATGAAATTACAAAACTGATTATATTTGTGTTTCTTCAGTCTATATAAGGAATAATAACAAACCTATTAATGAAATTACAGAACTGATTATATTTGTGTTTCTTCAGTCTATATAAGGAATAATAACAAACCTATTAATGAAATTACAGAACTGATTATATTTGTGTTTCTTCAGTCTATATAAGGAATAATAACAAACCTATTAATGAAATTACAGAACTGATTATATTTGTGTTTCTTCAGTCTATATAAGGAATAATAACAAACCTATTAATGAAATTACAGAACTGATTATATTTGTGTTTCTTCAGTCTATATAAGGAATAAAAACAAACCCTATTAATGAAATTACAGAACTGATTATATTTGTGTTTCTTCAGTCTATATAAGGAATAAAAACAAACCTATTAATGAAATTACAGAACTGATTATATTTGTGTTTCTTCAGTCTATATAAGGAATAATAACAAACCTATTAATGAAATTACAGAACTGATTATATTTGTGTTTCTTCAGTCTATATAAGGAATAATAACAAACCTATTAATGAAATTACAGAACTGATTATATTTGTGTTTCTTCAGTCTATATAAGGAATAATAACAAAGCACAGCAAATATTTAGAACTACTTACAGAATAAATATTATCATCATAATGATGACTTTTGTTAGTGTTTTACAGACGATTCAAACTCATTTAAGAAGATTGTTCAAATAAATATAATCTAATAAGACAATCTTTACGGTTTTAGAAATTTGGGCATAAAGACGTTTTCATACGGAATTGAAACAAAATTTGACTTGCTGATTAAATAGATGACGTTAGCTGATTAAATAGATTACTTTTAAAAAAAATAGCTGATTAAATAGATTACTTTAGCTGATTAAATAGATGACTTTTGCTGATAAAATCAAGTGCAAACATCAATCATTTAAATATTCAAGCTGACTTGACAGATGTGTTATTAATACGGTAAGAAATCGTTATTTGTATAGAAAGTTATCCTTAAAGGCACATTTAATACCCCAGAAAGGCGTTTCTTCTTCTTCTTTTCTGTAGAAAGGACAAACATGCATTTTTTAAAGTTTTATAATATGTGAGATGCTTAGAACAAATTTGTGATAAAGGAAGAAAATGTAAACAAAATGTTAGTATGAAAAAGAATTATTTCCTCTAACTGTAAAATTATTCAGACGCAAAATATGGCCTAGAAATTTGGTCAAGGAGTAACTATTGGACATTGCCGGGTGGTTAGATACGTTGACTCCGACACACTTGCCCCTCATGGCTGTTGCATGGACTTTGTATTTATATATATGATGAAACTTTCCAGCAAACTTTCTGGAGTATTGACATAAAGGGGTGCCTGACAGTAAAGCAAGAAAGTCACCATATTACATATGATTACAAACCGAACAAAATAAAACAAACAAAAATCTGCCATTTTACATCATGTATATTACAAAAATGCAAATATCGTGCAAAATTGTAGTAGGTCGGTGTTATTTACAGGAACATATAAACAAACAAATATTGTTGCTGTTGGTTACATTGTCTTTTATAGAATAAATCATTTATTGTAATATTGCATGCAAAAGACTGATTTAGAAGTGAAAAACTGAGTTAGAGGTAAGAATCTTCGGAATAATATCGAGCAAATTATAAGTTAATTTAACACTGGAGTAAATAAAGTTCATTGAAACAGAAACAAGTGTGTACAGTTAACAATACGCCAGTGCAGATGCACAAAATACTTTATTGTTCACGAGAACAAAAATACATTTGAATACATTGAATAAATCAAATCCGAAAGACAAACAAACAAAACAATACATTATTGTATTTAGTACCACTATATCAAATGAAAAAGATTGACCTTAATCATGCAACATTATTTACAAAAAAAAACAAAACATATTTATATGCAATAGTTTATCATTTAATTCTTTAAAGCTTGTAAATGTACAATAGTCCAGTCATTCTAGCTCAAAATAGAGCCAAACCTCAAACAAATTGCAACAGAAAATATTTTGAGTGTTTTGAAACCCCAGACCTATATTGTATAACATATCAAAAGTCTAGAAAAATCTAAATTGGAGAATGTTTTCAAAAATTGAGATCAAATATATGGGTATCATTGTATTTATTTTTTTAATTTGAACTCAATGTAATACACACATACAATTTTCCAATCAGTTTTATATATAATATGCATAAAAATATAGCTTAATCTATCCCTATAGTAACATAAAGTAATCAAAAAGTTGTTTTTGTTTAAAGAAACTACTTTTACCTTTCTAAAATTTATTAATTAACTTAAGTGGGTGGGGTAATATTATATTTTTACATTTCTGTAGATCAACAATTTATTGAAAGCTCTATGTTATATGATATTCAACAGAAAATACATAATGGTTTACGTACATGTGAAAACTGTAAAGTTTCAACGTTTTATGAATTTAATTTACATTCCATCAATATTAAATGCATATATTGAAATATTTATATTAACATTGTACAGCTAGTGGGTGGGGTAATTTTATACAAAATAAAGAAACATTTAGGAAATTTATATTATCTATGATAATAATATTGAGTTTTATATTAACTTGAATACTTTCAAGCACATCTGTTGTATTTTTTTCTGAGTCATTATATAACATCATGACATTGGGTCAAAAGAGGTGACATTGACCTTTTGGAAGGTCAATTTCAAATATTTGATACATTTGAGCATAAAATGTAAAAAAAAAAAATATTTGCAAATTTTAATTTGTAAAATATCTTCGCTAAGCATAAGCACAAGAATGTCATGACTTTTACAAAGCGTCACTCGCTTCTGTAATTTCTGGTCGACCAATCTTTCACTTTTTATCACTAGATGGTAGCACCTGAAATTCTTCTGGTATATCTTTTCCAGTTCTGAAATTAGAGGAGCATAAACATGTTTCATGGTAAAGAGCATCGGTTACAAGCAAGTCGTGAACCTGTTCTATCCTTGCTCTCACTGTATCAGACAAACAGTCATTCCTCTGTATGCTTATATTCAAAATAGTAGTAAATATATTGTCCTTACTGGCAAAACATCACACTTCCTTGTTTTACCCTTACTTATAACAGATTGACCACAATATAAACAATGCTTTTTGTATGAAAACTTATCAGTCATTGATCTCAATGGTGTTAATGGTGGCATCAGTGTTGACTTTTTCTGTCTTAGTGTCTCTTTTAGTGTAATGTAGGTTACAGTACATCTTTCTACACTCAATGTGAATATATTATTCTGATCATTACTGTCATTTTATTTCTCACTGGCAGCATTTATTCCCTTGCATTCCTTTTCGTTGCCTTTAACTGTCTTTGTATGATCATCTGAAACAGCCGTTAACAAATCCGAAAGGAGTTCATCTTGAAAAAAATAAACAATAACTGATATTGTAAGATTTATAAAATCTGTTTTTTACATTATATGGAGGTTGATCCAGAATTACACAAAATTTATTTATAATTCTGATAACTTTTTTATGTTTTTTTCATTAAATTTATAAATGCGCAAAGATCGATGTTTCATCTATTTAATTGCCAAATGTAATTGATTATAAACATCCAGTACCGTCTCATGCCGCCTTAAATAACCATGGAGACACCACAGCAGCGCAACTCAAAGAACACGACGTTCGTTGAAATTTATAATACACCAAAGTGCCCGACACAAAAAGGGATCATGTCCAATATTTGCCGAATTTTAATGTAAAGCCTGCTAAAATTTTACGTCGTTTGAACATTGTATTATTGTGTAATCATTTGTAATTGCAACGTTTATTTATGCAAAAACGTCTTCATTTAGGCGTAGGAAAACGGCACTTTCATAAACATTTGTCAACTGTTTAGACAGCCTACCATAGAAACATCTAATATGATAAAAGAAATTCGACACAAGTATTTTGTTAGTCATGCATGCAAAACTTTTTGAGGGGTAAAGAAGTTTTTTTACCAGACTATTGGAGTAATTTTAAAGATAAATACATATCGTTTGCGGCATAGAAGAATACGCGTGAAGTTAACGTTCTCCGTCGCTGTGGCGATTGAAAAATACATATATGCTGTCATATGCGGCCTTGCACAATTTCAATGCGATTTAAAAACATGAAATCTAATTGACGATTATGTGTTGTTTTTCATACTTTATTTGTTTCCTTTTACATGCACTTTTTATCTAATTAAATTAAATGAATCATATATTTTATGCCTTCAACTTTAAGATGGTCATGTGTATGAATCACAGCAATTAAAGCAATTAGCAGTTCAATAGTCATAGGTTTAGGTTGTTAGTACACTTACAGTGAATGGCATCGGGAGGATTCCCTATGTATAAGAACAATAGAACATCAACCTTTCTTGCATAATGTGACAAATCCTATGTTTGCTTATATGGTAGGCATACTGTTTTTAATTATCATATTCTTGTTTCCTTGTAAAGAGGATATATTACGCAGTTATAAAGTGTTTGTTATATGAACTTCGAATAAATATTATTTAATTTATTGTTTAAATTCCGTGTATTTCTGGATCATCCCTTGTATTCTTGTATTCTGGTTATTGGTAGCTGATTACGTATTGTTTCAGTTATCCCAGAACAGTACGTGTTATTATAAGATGTATTTTTCCTAAAAGGCTTTCCTTAAAATGTTTTAGGTGTATTTATTTGATCAAAGTTGCTGATATGACACACTTTTCTTGCATATCAGACTGGCGTTTCCGTTAGTATTACCCATGCCGGAAATTTCATCTGGCATAGGGGGTCGGGCATGAGTCGCGTGCTGTACAATGACGTAATTTTACCGTTATGAATGAAGTTCTAATTTCATACGCTGTTGTACAAAAATAGCTTCGGTTGTAATGGCATAAATTCCCATTGAAAATTAAGATAAAGAATTCAAAATATAATGTTATATCGTAAAATATGCAAGAAAAAATATCTGACATATGTTTGCGGTTCGGATCGGAATATCCGTCCCGAGGTGACCCGCCCATTGGGCGGTAACAAGGCTTGCCGATTTATTATTATTTTCTAAGGTTTTAATCTAAAATTATAAAAATATTAAATACCTACTGGTTAAAGTGTTTGGAAGTAACGTAAAGATAAAGTCACATATTGAGTTTAAAAATGTCACCTTTCAATTTTAAGCATTTCTAATGCCCATCCGTGCATGCATTCAAAAATATTTGTACTGATATGTTACTATATGGAACTTATGACACACTTTAAAAGTTTGCTTATATGAAAAATATCATTAAAGTGATTTTGTGAAACAAATGTCTCAACTATGCATCTTTACCTTTAACTCGTATACATCACAGTGTCCTCAGAACACATGATCGGGCATACCCATTGGCTCTGGTGTGTTGATGAAATCTGTAACATAGAAATTACTTCAAGTTTGAAAGGATTAGAATCTTATTTTCATATTTACGTGAAATAAGGTTCTATAGAATACACAGATGTTTTTATTGTTACATGTATTTGCTTAAATTTTGATTTTAAAAGTGATAAAATTATACTATAGTCAACTTAGGTGTGCATTCCGAAAGAAATACTAATATATCGCTGTGAATTAATCTTATACACGTAATGCACTTTTTCAAATTCGCGCAGGTGCTATTGTATGCATAAAAGATTTTCTTTTAAATTATGGATCAACTGTGCATGTTTACCTTGAACTCATACACATCGCCAATCATGAACCATAACTAGAAATCACGTTTGTTTATTGATAAATTTTTCATGTCACCTTTTCATGTATAAATTTCTTCTATGTCTATTAAAAACTGAAAATAATTTCAGATATATTGAATTATGCATACGACGCTCTATTTCCTCCATGTTTAATATTCACTTAAACTAGTAAAAGATAATGTTTGATATTTGTGTTATATATGTAAAAATATTACAAATGTAAGCACAGGAAAGCAAACTTACTCATTTAGTGTACATTATAGTTTACTGGATTTTTTTTTTTTCAAAATCAAGCATACATCAATGAAGACTACCTCGGTACCCCTGAAATAATAATAACATTACATACATTATATATGTAAAACAATTTTAAATCAAAGCACAGAAGGTGCTGAATTTGTTTGGGTCTCAGAATGTAAGAAAGGTGCAGGTTGTGAGATTATATGTATAGTGCCACCAATGCTTTCCAGCGTTTTAATTGTAGTAAATTGGCTATAAGACTAATTGCAACACTGATATTCAATCCAATGTTTATTTGACTTTAACAATTTGAAAAAAAATGAGTTACCTTTACTGGGATTTGAACTCCAGACCTCTCGCTTCCTAAGCGAGCCCGAAAACCCTTCAGCCACGGTGAATTTATATGTGAACGGGCTGAAGAAAACCATATTATTCTAAATTAGGGCTTGTAACGACTTTAACTGTTGTTTAACACAGATGTAAATAATGATATTATTTGTTACATATTAAAGGAAGTACAAATAGAGAGAGACTGTGCATTTTGTATAAAAGAGAAAAGTATTGTTAACCTTGCTTAAATTAAGTAATATACATTGTATTGAATGTTTGAAGTTTGTGTCTTCATTTGCCTATGTTTAGTACACACTATGTCTTTAGTTCAATGTTTCATTTTCACATTGTCCTCAGTTGTAACCATAGGCTAATTCCTTATATTTTAATTTTTTCAATTTACCATTTCATAATTTAATTATTTTGCAGATGAACACTTTAGGGATGATTATTCAAAGGGGAACCAATATAAAGATTAAAGAGAGTCCTGGTAATTCATGTCCAAAGAGCTCATGTCAGTCATTGCTGAGTACTTTTAAACCTGTGATAACAGATGACTTAGGTGAGCATTTATGCCCTGAATAGAGAGATGATTTAGTATTTTCTGAAAATATTTTATAGAAATATCAAAGTCAGTTGTTTTCTAAAATATGGAAGATACATGATACTATTTGATACATATAAAAGGTAGTACAAATAGAGATAGACTCTGCATTTTGTATGAAAATGAAGAATAGTTTTGACATAACAAAGATTAAGTAGTCTATATTTTTTACAAAATGTTGGAAGTATGTGTCTTAAATTGCCTATGTTTGGTAAATAGCATGTCTTTAGTTGAATGTCTCATTTTCATGTTGTCCTTAGCTGTAACCATAATATTTAAGTACAGGCTAGTACCTTTTATTTAGAATATTTATATTTGATTTTAATTTCATTTCTCAGAAGAAGACCTAATAGATGAATTGTTAAAGGAGAGCCAATGTACAGAGAGCCCTAGTACTTCATATCCACATAGCTTCTGTCAGTCATTGCTGGGTACTTTTAAACCTGTAGTAACAGATGGCTTATATTGCGTTCATTGAACGCCGACTTTCCTTGTTGGTCTTGTTTATCAGATTTTAGCTGAGAATTAATGCCCTGAATAGAGAGATCAGAAGTATTTGTGAAAATATTTTATAGAAATATGAAAGCCAGTTGTTTTCTCAATGATGGTAGATACATGATATTATTTGTTACATATTAAAGGAAGTACAAATAGAGATATACTGTGCATTTTGTATGAAAAGGAAAAATATTGTTAACCTTGCTTAAATTAAGTAGTATACATTTTATTAAATGTTTGAAGTTTGTGTCTTCATTTGCCTATGTTTAGTACACACTATGTCTATAGTTGCATGTTTCATTTTCGCACTGTCCTCAGTTGTAACAATAGATTAGTTTTTTATAATTTAATTATTTCAAATTACCACTTCATAATGTAATTCCTTTGCAGATAAACATCTTAGGCATAATTTATCAAAGGGGCACCAATATACAGAGAGTCCTAAAAAATTCATGTCCAAAGAGCTCATGTCAGTCATTGCTGAGTACTTTTAAACATGTGATAACAGATGACTTAGGTGAGCATTAATGCCCTGAATAGAGAGATGATTTAGTATTTCTGAAAATCTTTTATAGAAATATCAAAGTCAGTTGTTTTCTAAAAGATGGAAGATACATGATACTATTTGATACATATAAAAGGTAGTACAAATAGAGATAGAATCTGCATTTTGTATGAAAATGAAGAATAATTTTGATATAACAAAGATTAAGTAGTCTCTATTTTACAAAATGTTGGAAGTATGTGTCTTAACTTGCCTATGTTTGGTAAATAGCATGTCTTTAGTTGAATGTCTCATTTTCACGTTGTCCCTAGCTGTAACCATAATATTTAAGTACAGGCTAGTACCTTTTATTTAGAATATTTCAATTTGATTTTCATTTCATTTTTCAGAAGAAGCCCTAATAGATGAATTGCCAAAGGAGAGCCAATGTACAGAGAGCCCTAGTACTTCATATCCACATAGGTTCTGTCAGTCATTGCTGAGTACTTTTAAACATGTGGTAACAGATGACTTAGGTGAGAATTAACGCCCTGAATAGAGAGATCAGAAGTATTTCTGAAAATATTTTATAGAAATAAGCCAGTTGTTTTCTCAATGATGGTAGATACATGATATTATTTGTTACATATTAAAGGAAGTACAAATAGAGATATACTGTGCATTTTGTATGAAAAGGAAAATATTGTTTACCTTGCTTAGATTAAGTAGTATACATTTTATTAAATGTTTGAAGTTTGTGTCTTCATTTGCCTATGTTTAGTACACACTATGTCTTTAGTTGCATGTTTCATGTTCACACTGTCCTCAGTTGTAACCATAGACTAGTTTTTTATAATTTAATTATTTCAATTTACCACTTCATAATGTAATTCTTTTGCAGATGAACACCTTAGGGATAATTTATCAAAGGGGCACCAATATACAGAGAGTCCTAAAAAATTCATGTCCAAAGAGCTCATGTCAGTCTTTGCTGAGTTATTTTAAACATGTGATAACAGATGACTTAGGTGAGCATTAATGCCCTGAATAGAGAGATCATTTAGTATTTCTGAAAATCTTTTATAGAAATATCAAAGTCAGTTGTTTTCTAAAAGATGGAAGATACATGATACTATTTGATACATATAAAAGGTAGTACAAATAGAGATAGAATCTGCATTTTGTATGAAAATGAAGAATAATTTTGATATAACAAAGATTAAGTAGTCTCTTTTTTACAAAATGTTGGAAGTAAATGTCTTTACTTGCCTATGTTTGGTAAATAGCATGTCTTTAGTTGACTGTCTCATTTTCATGTTGTCCTTAGCTGTAACCATCATAATTAAGTACAGGCTAGTACCTTTTATTTAGAATATTTCAATTTGCTTTTCATTTCATTTCTCAGAAAAAGCCCTAATAGAGGAATTGCCAAAGGAGAGCCAATGTACAGAGAGCCCTAGTACTTCATATCCACATAGCTTCTGTCAGTCATTGCTGAGTACTTTTAAACCTGTGGTAACAGATGACTTAGGTGAGAATTAATGCCCTGAATAGAGAGATCAGAAGTATTTCTGAAAATATTTTATAGAAATATGAAAGCCAGTTGTTTCTCAATGATGGTAGATGCATGATATTATTTGTTACATATTAAAGGAAGTACAAATAGAGATATACTGTGCATTTTGTATGAAAAGGAAAATATTGTTTACCTTGCTTAGATTAAGTAGTATACATTTTATTAAATGTTTGAAGTTTGTGTCTTCATTTGCCTATGTTTAGTACACACTATGTCTTTAGTTGCATGTTTCATGTTCACACTGTCCTCAGTTGTAACCATAGACTAGTTTTTTATAATTTAATTATTTCAATTTACCACTTCATAATGTAATTCTTTTGCAGATGAACACCTTAGGGATAATTTATCAAAGGGGCACCAATATACAGAGAGTCCTAAAAATTCATGTCCAAAGAGCTCATGTCAGTCTTTGCTGAGTACTTTTAAACATGTAATAACAGATGACTTAGGTGAGCATTAATGCCCTGAATAGAGAGATGATTTAGTATTTCTGAAAATCTTTTATAGAAATATCAAAGTCAGTTGTTTTCTCACTGATGGAAGATACATGATACTATTTGATACATATAAAAGATAGTACAAATAGAGATAGACTGTGCAATTTGTATGAAAATGAAGAATAATTTTGACATAACAAAGATTAAGTAGTCTATATTTTACAATTTGTTGGAAGTATGCGTCTTAATTTGCGTATGTCTGGTACAAAGCATGTCTTTAGTTGAATGTCTCATTTTCACATGTATTTAGCTGTAACTATAATATTTAAGTACAGGTTAGTACCTTTTATTTAGAATATTTCCATTTGATTTTCATTTCATTTCTCAGAAGAAAACCTAATAGATTAATTGCTAAAGGAGAGCCAATGTATAGAGAGCCCTAGTTCTTCATATCCACATAGCTTCTGTCAGTCATTGCTGAGTACTTTTAAACCTGTGGTAACAGATGACTTGGGTGAGAATTAATGCCCTGAATGGAGAGATCAGAAGTATTTCTGAAAATATTTTATAGAAATATGAAAGCCAGTTGTTTTCTCAATGATGGTAGATACATGATATTATTTGTTACATATTAAAGGAAGTACAAATAGAGATATACTGTGCATTTTGTATAAAAGAGAAAAATATTGTTAACCTTGCTTAAATTAAGTAGTATACATTTTATTAAATGTTTGAAGTTTGTGTCTTCATTTGCCTATGTTTAGTACACACTATGTCTTTAGTTGCATGTTTCATGTTCACACTGTCCTCAGTTGTAACCATAGACTAGTTTTTTATAATTTAATTATTTCAATTTACCACTTCATAATGTAATTCTTTTGCTGATGAACACCTTAGGGATAATTAATCAAAGGGGCACCAATATACAGAGAGTCCTAAAAAATTCATGTCCAAAGAGCTCATTTCAGTCTTTGCTGAGTACTTTTAAACATGTAATAACAGATGACTTAGGTGAGCATTAATGCCCTGAATAGAGAGATGATTTAGTATTTCTGAAAATCTTTTATAGAAATATCAAAGTCAGTTGTTTTTTAAAAGATGGAAGGTACATGATACTATTTGATACATATAAAAGGTAGTACAAATAGAGATAGACTCTGCATTTTGTATGAAAATGAAGAATAATTTTGACATAACAAAGATTAAGTAGTCTATATTTTACAAAATGTTGGAAGTATGTGTCTTTACTTGCCTATGTTTGGTAAATAGCATGTCTTTAGTTGAATGTCTCATTTTCATGTTGTCCTTAGCTGTAACCATAATATTTAAGTACAGGCTAGTACCTTTTATTTAGAATATTTCAATTTGCTTTTCATTTCATTTCTCAGAAGAAGCCCTAATAGATGAATTGCCAAAGGAGAGCCAATGTACAGAGAGCCCTAGTACTTCATATCCACATAGCTTCTGTCAGTCATTGCTGAGTACTTTTAAACCTGTGGTAACAGATGACTTAGGTGAGAATTAATGCCCTGAATAGAGAGATCAGAAGTATTTCTGAAAATATTTTATAGAAATATGAAAACCAGTTGTTTCCTCAATGATGGTAGATACATGATATTATTTGTTACATATTAAAGGAAGTACAAATAGAGAGAGACTGTGCATTTTGTATAAAAAGGAAAAATATTGTTAACCTTGCTTAAATTAAGTAGTATACATTTTATTGAATGTTTGAAGTTTGTGTCTTCATTTGCCTATGTTTAGTACACACTATGTCTTTAGTTGAATGTTTCATTTTCACACTGTCCTCATTTGTAACCATAGGCTAGTTCCTTATATTTTAATTATTTCAATTTACCATTTCATAATGTAATTCTTTTGCAGATGAACACCTTAGGGATGATTATTCAAAGGGGAACCAATATAAAGATTAAAGAGAGTCCTGGTAATTCATGTCCAAAGAGCTCATGTCAGTCATTGCTGAGTACTTTTAAACCTGTGATAACAGATGACTTAGGTGAGCATTAATGCCCTGAATAGAGAGATGATTTAGTATTTCTGAAAATCTTTTATAGAAATATCAAAGTCAGTTGTTTTCTAAAAGATGGAAGATACATGATACTATTTGATACATATAAAAGGTAGTACAAATAGAGATAGACTCTGCATTTTGTATGAAAATGAAGAATAGTTTTGACATAACAAAGATTAAGTAGTCTATATTTTACAAAATGTTGGAAGTATGTGTCTTAAATTGCCTATGTTTGGTAAATAGCATGTCTTTAGTTGAATGTCTCATTTTCATGTTGTCCTTAGCTGTAACCATAATATTTAAGTACAGGCTAGTACCTTTTATTTAGAATATTTCAATTTGATTTTCATTTCATTTCTCAGAAGAAGCCCTAATAGATGAATTGCCAAAGGAGAGCCAATGTACAGAGAGCCCTAGTACTTCATATCCACATAGGTTCTGTCAGTCATTGCTGAGTACTTTTAAACATGTGGTAACAGATGACTTAGGTGAGAATTAATGCCCTGAATAGAGAGATCAGAAGTATTTCTGAAAATATTTTATAGAAATATGAAAGCCAGTTGTTTTCTCAATGATGGTAGATACATGATATTATTTGTTACATATTAAAGGAAGTACAAATAGAGATATACTGTGCATTTTGTATGAAAAGGAAAATATTGTTTACCTTGCTTAGATTTAGTAGTATACATTTTATTAAATGTTTGAAGTTTGTGTCTTCATTTGCCTATGTTTAGTACACACTATGTCTTTAGTTGCATGTTTCATGTTCACACTGTCCTCAGTTGTAACCATAGACTAGTTTTTTATAATTTAATTATTTCAATTTACCACTTCATAATGTAATTCTTTTGCAGATGAACACCTTAGGGATAATTTATCAAAGGGGCACCAATATACAGAGAGTCCTAAAAATTCATGTCCAAAGAGCTCATGTCAGTCTTTGCTGAGTACTTTTAAACATGTAATAACAGATGACTTAGGTGAGCATTAATGCCCTGAATAGAGAGATGATTTAGTATTTCTGAAAATCTTTTATAGAAATATCAAAGTCAGTTGTTTTTTAAAAGATGGAAGGTACATGATACTATTTGATACATATAAAAGGTAGTACAAATAGAGATAGACTCTGCATTTTGTATGAAAATGAAGAATAATTTTGACATAACAAAGATTAAGTAGTCTATATTTTACAAAATGTTGGAAGTATGTGTCTTTACTTGCCTATGTTTGGTAAATAGCATGTCTTTAGTTGAATGTCTCATTTTCATGTTGTCCTTAGCTGTAACCATAATATTTAAGTACAGGCTAGTACCTTTTATTTAGAATATTTCAATTTGCTTTTCATTTCATTTCTCAAAAGAAGCCCTAATAGATGAATTGCCAAAGGAGAGCCAATGTACAGAGAGCCCTAGTACTTCATATCCACATAGCTTTGGTGAGAATTAATGCCCTGAATAGAGAGATCAGAAGTATTTCTGAAAATATTTTATAGAAATATGAAAGCCAGTTGTTTTCTCAATGATGGTAGATACATGATATTATTTGTTACATATTAAAGGAAGTACAAATAGAGATATACTGTGCATTTTGTATGAAAAGGAAAATATTGTTTACCTTGCTTAAATTAAGTAGTATACATTTTATTAAATGTTTGAAGTTTGTGTCTTCATTTGCCTATGTTTAGCACACACTATGTCTTTAGTTGCATGTTTTTTGTTCACACTGTCCTCAGTTGTAACCATAGACTAGTTTTTTTATAATTTAATTATTTCAATTTACCACTTCATAATGTAATTCTTTTGCTGATGAACACCTTAGGGATAATTAATCAAAGGGGCACCAATATACAGAGAGTCCTAAAAAATTCATGTCCAAAGAGCTCATTTCAGTCTTTGCTGAGTACTTTTAAACATGTAATAACAGATGACTTAGGTGAGCATTAATGCCCTGAATAGAGAGATGATTTAGTATTTCTGAAAATCTTTTATAGAAATATCAAAGTCAGTTGTTTTTTAAAAGATGGAAGGTACATGATACTATTTGATACATATAAAAGGTAGTACAAATAGAGATAGACTCTGAATTTTGTATGAAAATGAAGAATAATTTTGACATAACAAAGATTAAGTAGTCTATATTTTACAAAATGTTGGAAGTATGTGTCTTTACTTGCATATGTTTGGTAAATAGCATGTCTTTAGTTGACTGTCTCATTTTCATGTTGTCCTTAGCTGTAACCATAATATTTAAGTACAGGCTAGTACCTTTTATTTAGAATATTTCAATTTGATTTTCATTTCATTTCTCAGAAGAAGCCCTAATAGATGAATTGCCAAAGGAGAGCCAATGTACAGAGAGCCCTAGTACTTCATATCCACATAGCTTCTGTCAGTTATTGCTGAGTACTTTTAAACATGTGGTAACAGATGACTCAGGTGAGAATAAATGCCCTGAATAGAGAGATCAGAAGTATTTCTGAAAGTATTTTATAGAAATATGAAAGCCAGTTGTTTTCTCAATGATGGTAGATACATGATATTATTTGTTACATATTAAAGGAAGTACAAATAGAGATATACTGTGCATTTTGTATGAAAAGGAAAATATTGTTTACCTTGCTTAAATTAAGTAGTATACATTTTATTAAATGTTTGAAGTTTGTGTCTTCATTTGCCTATGTTTAGCACACACTATGTCTTTAGTTGCATGTTTTTTGTTCACACTGTCCTCAGTTGTAACCATAGACTAGTTTTTTATAATTTAATTATTTCAATTTACCACTTCATAATGTAATTCTTTTGCTGATGAACACCTTAGGGATAATTAATCAAAGGGGCACCAATATACAGAGAGTCCTAAAAAATTCATGTCCAAAGAGCTCATTTCAGTCTTTGCTGAGTACTTTTAAACATGTAATAACAGATGACTTAGGTGAGCATTAATGCCCTGAATAGAGAGATGATTTAGTATTTCTGAAAATCTTTTATAGAAATATCAAAGTCAGTTGTTTTTTAAAAGATGGAAGGTACATGATACTATTTGATACATATAAAAGGTAGTACAAATAGAGATAGACTCTGAATTTTGTATGAAAATGAAGAATAGTTTTGACATAACAAAGATTAAGTAGTCTATATTTTACAAAATGTTGGAAGTATGTGTCTTTACTTGCATATGTTTGGTAAATAGCATGTCTTTAGTTGACTGTCTCATTTTCATGTTGTCCTTAGCTGTAACCATAATATTTAAGTACAGGCTAGTACCTTTTATTTAGAATATTTCAATTTGATTTTCATTTCATTTCTCAGAAGAAGCCCTAATAGATGAATTGCCAAAGGAGAGCCAATGTACAGAGAGCCCTAGTACTTCATATCCACATAGCTTCTGTCAGTTATTGCTGAGTACTTTTAAACATGTGGTAACAGATGACTTAGGTGAGAATTAATGCCCTGAATAGAGAGATCAGAAGTATTTCTGAAAATATTTTATAGAAATATGAAAACCAGTTGTTTCCTTCATGATGGTAGATACATGATATAATTTGTTACATATTAAAGGAAGTACAAATAGATAGAGATTTTGCAATTAGTATGAAAAGGAAATATATTGTTAACCTTGCTTAAATTAAGTAGTATACATTTTATTAAATGTTTGAATTTTGTGTCTTCATTTGCCTATGTTTAGTACACACTATGTCTTTAGTTGCATGTTTCATTTTCACACTGTCCTCAGTTGTAACCATAGACTAGTTCCTTATATTTGGATTTTTTCAATTTACCATTTCATAATGTAATTCTTTTGCAGATGAACACCTTAGGGATGATTTGTCAAAGGGGAACCAATATAAAGAGAGTCCTGGTAATTCATGTCCAAAGAGCTCATGTCAGTCATTGCTGAGTACTTTTAAACCTGTGATAACAGATGACTTAGGTGAGCATTAATGCCCTGAATAGAGAGATGATTTAGTATTTCTGAAAATCTTTTATAGAAATATCAAAGTCAGTTGTTTTCTAAAAGATGGAAGATACATGATACTATTTGATACATATAAAAGGTAGTACAAATAGAGATAGAATCTGCATTTTGTATGAAAATGAAGAATAATTTTGACATAACAAAGATTAAGTAGACTTTATTTTACAGTTTGTTGGAAGTATGTGTCTTAATTTGCCTATGTTTGGTACATAGCATGTCTTTAGTTGAATGTCTCATTTTCACGTTGTCCTTAGCTGTAACCATAATATTTAAGTACAGGCTAGTACCTTTTATTTAGAATATTTCAATTTGATTTTCATTTCATTTTTCAGAGGAAGCCCTAAGAGATGAATTGCCAAAGGGGAGCCAATGTACAGAGAGCCCTAGTACTTCATATCCACATAGCTTCTGTCTGTCATTGCTGAGTACTATTAAACCTGTGGTAATAGATGACTTAGGTGAGAATAAATGCCCTGAATAGAGAGATCACAAGTATTTCTGAAAATATTTTATAGAAATATGAAAGCCAGTTGTTTTCTCAATGATGGTAGATACATGATATTATTTGTTACATATTAAAGGAAGTACAAATAGAGATATACTGTGCATTTTGTATGAAAAGGAAAATATTGTTTACCTTGCTTAAATTAAGTAGTATACATTTTATTAAATGTTTGAAGTTTGTGTCTTCATTTGCCTATGTTTAGTACACACTATGTCTTTAGTTGCATGTTTCATGTTCACACTGTCCTCAGTTGTAACCATAGACTAGTTTTTTATAATTTAATTATTTCAATTTACCACTTCATAATGTAATTCTTTTGCAGATGAACACCTTAGGGATAATTTATCAAAGGGGCACCAATATACAGAGAGTCCTAAAAAATTCATGTCCAAAGAGCTCATGTCAGTCTTTGCTGAGTACTTTTAAACATGTAATAACAGATGACTTAGGTAAGCATTAATGCCCTGAATAGAGAGATGATTTAGTATTTCGGAAAATCTTTTATAGAAATATCAAAGTCAGTTGTTTATTTAAGATGGAAGGTACATGATACTATTTGATACATATAAAAGGTAGTACAAATAGAGATAGACTCTAAATTTTGTATGAAAATGAAAAATAATTTTGACATAACAAAGATTAAGTAGTCTATATTTTACAAAATGTTGGAAGTATGTGTCTTTACTTGCATATGTTTGGTAAATAGCATGTCTTTAGTTGAAGTCTCATTTTCATGTTGTCCTTAGCTGTAACCATCATAATTAAGTACAGGCTAGTACCTTTTATTTAGAATATTTCAATTTGCTTTTCATTTCATTTCTCAGAAAAAGCCCTAATAGAGGAATTGCCAAAGGAGAGCCAATGTACAGAGAGCCCTAGTACTTCATATCCACATAGCTTCTGTCAGTCATTGCTGAGTACTTTTAAACCGGTGGCTACAGATGACTTAGGTGAGAATTAATGCCCTGAATAGAGAGATCAGAAGTATTTCTGAAAATATTTTATAGAAATATGAAAACCAGTTGTTTCCTCAATGATGGTAGATACATGATATTATTTGTTACATATTAAAGGAAGTACAAATAGAGAGAGACTGTGCATTTTGTATGAAAAGGAAATATATTTTTAACCTTGCTTAAATTAAGTAGTTTACATTTTATTAAATGTTTGAATTTTGTGTCTTCATTTGCCTATGTTTAGTACACACTATGTCTTTAGTTGAATGTTTTATTTTCACACTGTCCTCAGTTGTAACCATAGGCTAGTTCCTTATATTTCATTTTTTTCAATTTACCATTTCATAATGTAATTCTTTTGCAGATGAACACCTTAGGGATGATTTGTCAAAGGGGAACCAATATAAAGAGAGTCCTGGTAATTCATGTCCAAAGAGCTTATGTCAGTCATTGCTGAGTACTTTTAAACCTGTGATAACAGATGACTTAGGTGAGCATTAATGCCCTGAATAGAGAGATGATTTAGTATTTCTGAAAATCTTTTATAGAAATATCAAAGTCAGTTGTTTTCTAAAAGATGGAAGATACATGATACTATTTGATACATATAAAAGGTAGTACAAATAGAGATAGAATCTGCATTTTGTATGAAAATGAAGAATAATTTTGACATAACAAAGATTAAGTAGACTTTATTTTACAGTTTGTTGGAAGTATGTGTCTTAATTTGCCTATGTTTGGTACATAGCATGTCTTTAGTTGAGTGTCTCATTTTCACGTTGTCCTTAGCTGTAACCATAATATTTAAGTACAGGCTAGTACCTTTTATTTAGAATATTTCAATTTGATTTTCATTTCATTTCTCAGAAGAAGCCCTAATAGATGAATTGCCAAAGGAGAGCCAATGTACAGAGAGCCCTAGTACTTCATATCCACATAGCTTCTGTCAGTCATTGCTGAGTACTTTTAAACATGTGGTAACAGATGACTTAGGTGAGAATTAATGCCCTGAATAGAGAGATCAGAAGTATTTCTGAAAATATTTTATAGAAATATGAAAACCAGTTGTTTCCTCAATGATGGTAGATACATGATATTATTTGTTACATATTAAAGGAAGTATAAATAGAGAGAGACTGTGCATTTTGTATGAAAAGGAAAAATATTGTTAACCTTGCTTTAATTAAGTAGTTTACATTTTATTAAATGTTTGAAGTTTGTGTCTTCATTTGCCTATGTTTAGTAAACACTATGTCTTTAGTTGCATGTTTCATGTTCACACTGTCCTCAGTTGTAACCATAGACTAGTTTTTTATAATTTAATTATTTCAATTTACCACTTCATAATGTAATTCATTTGCAGATGAACACCTTAGGGATAATTTATCAAAGGGGCACCAATATACAGAGAGTCCTAAAAATTAATGTCCAAAGAGCTCATGTCAGTCTTTGCTGAGTACATTTAAACATGTAATAACAGATGACTTAGGTGAGCATTAATGCCCTGAATAGAGAGATGATTTAGTATTTCTGAAAATCTTTTATAGAAATATCAAAGTCAGTTGTTTTCTAAAAGATGGAAGATACATGATACTATTTGATACATATAAAAGATAGTACAAATAGAGATAGACTCTGCATTTTGTATGAAAATGAAGAATAATTTGGACATAACAAAGATTAAGTAGACTTTATTTTACAGTTTGTTGGAAGTATGTGTCTTAATTTGCCTATGTTTGGTAAATAGTATGTCTTTAGTTGAGTGTCTCATTTTCACGTTGTCCTTAGCTGTAACCATAATATTTAAGTACAGGCTAGTACCTTTTATTTAGAATATTTCAATTTGATTTTCATTTCATTTCTCAGAAGAAGCCCTAATAGATGAATTGCCAAAGGAGAGCCAATGTACAGAGACTTCATATCCACATAGCTTCTGTCAGTCATTGCTGAGTACTTTGAAACATGTGGTTACAGATGACTTAGGTGAGAATTAATGCCCTCAATAGAGAGATCACAAGTATTTCTGAAAATATTTTATAGAAATGTGAAAGCCAGTTGTTTTCTCAATGATGGAAGATACATGATATTATTTGTTACATATTAAAGGAAGTACAAATAGAGATATACTGTGCATTTTGTATGAAAAGGAAAATATTGTTTACCTTGCTTAAATTAAGTAGTATACATTTTATTAAATGTTTGAAGTTTATGTCTTCATTTGCCTATGTTTAGTAAACACTATGTCTTTAGTTGCATGTTTCATGTTCACACTGTCCTCAGTTGTAACCATAGACTAGTTTTTTATAATTTAATTATTTCAATTTACCACTTCATAATGTAATTCTTTTGCAGATGAACACCTTAGGGATAATTTATCAAAGGGGCACCAATATACAGAGAGTCCTAAAAAATTCATGTCCAAAGAGCTCATGTCAGTCTTTGCTGAGTACTTTTAAACATGTAATAACAGATGACTTAGGTGAGCATTAATGCCCTGAATAGAGAGATGATTTAGTATTTCTGAAAATCTTTTATAGAAATATCAAAGTCAGTTGTTTTCTCACTGATGGAAGATACATGATACTATTTGATACATATAAAAGGTAGTACAAATAGAGATAGACTCTGTATTTTGTATGAAAATGAAGAATAATTTGGACATAACAAAGATTAAGTAGACTTTATTTTACAGTTTGTTGGAAGTATGTGTCTTAATTTGCCTATGTTTGGTAAATAGCATGTCTTTAGTTGAGTGTCTCATTTTCACGTTGTCCTTAGCTGTAACCATAATATTTAAGTACAGGCTAGTACCTTTTATTTAGAATATTTCAATTTGATTTTCATTTCATTTCTCAGAAGAAGCCCTAATAGATGAATTGCCAAAGGAGAGCCAATGTACAGAGAGCCCTAGTACTTCATATCCACATAGCTTTTGTCAGTCATTGCTGAGTACTTTTAAACATGTGGTTACAGATGACTTAGGTGAGAATTAATGCCCTCAATAGAGAGATCACAAGTATTTCTGAAAATATTTTATAGAAATGTGAAAGCCAGTTGTTTTCTCAATGATGGTAGATACATGATATTATTTGTTACATATTAAAGGAAGTACAAATAGAGATATACTGTGCATTTTGTATGAAAAGGAAAATATTGTTTACCTTGCTTAAATTAAGTAGTATACATTTTATTAAATGTTTGAAGTTTGTGTCTTCATTTGCCTATGTTTAGTAAACACTATGTCTTTAGTTGCATGTTTCATGTTCACACTGTCCTCAGTTGTAACCATAGACTAGTTTTTTATAATTTAATTATTTCAATTTACCACTTCATAATGTACTAGTAATTCTTTTGCAGATGAACACCATAGGGATAATTTATCAAAGGGGCACCAATATACAGAGAGTCCTAAAAATTCATGTCCAAAGAGCTCATGTCAGTCTTTGCTGAGTACTTTTAAACATGTAATAACAGATGACTTAGGTGAGCATTAATGCTCTGAATACAGAGATGATTTAGTATTTCTGAAAATCTTTTATAGAAATATCAAAGTCAGTTGTTTTCTCACTGATGGAAGATACATGATACTATTTGATACATATAAAAGGTAGTACAAATAAAGATAGACTCTGTATTTTGTATGAAAATGAAGAATAATTTTGACATAACAAAGATTAAGTAGACTTTATTTTACAGTTTGTTGGAAGTATGTGTCTTAATTTGCCTATGTTTGGTACATAGCATGTCTTTAGTTGAGTGTCTCATTTTCACGTTGTCCTTAGCTGTAACCATAATATTTAAGTACAGGCTAGTACCTTTTATTTAGAATATTTCAATTTGATTTTCATTTCATTTTTCAGAGGAAGCCCTAATAGATGAATTGCCAAAGGGGAGCCAATGTACAGAGAGCCCTAGTACTTCATATCCACATAGCTTCTGTCTGTCATTGCTGAGTACTATTAAATCTGTGGTAATAGATGACTTAGGTGAGAATAAATGCCCTGAATAGAGAGATCAGAAGTATTTCTGAAAATATTTTATAGAAATATGAAAGCCAGTTGTTTTCTCAATGATGGTAGATACATGATATTATGTGTTACATATTAAAGGAAGTACAGATAGAGATATACTGTGCATTTTGTATGAAAAGGAAAATATTGTTTACCTTGCTTAAATTAAGTAGTATACATTTTATTAAATGTTTGAATTTTGTGTCTTCATTTGCCTATGTTTAGTACACACTATGTCTTTAGTTGCATGTTTCATTTTCACACTGTCCTCAGTTGTAACCATAGACTAGTTTTTTATAATTTAATTATTTCAATTTACCACTTCATAATGTAATTCTTTTGCTGATGAACACCTTAGGGATAATTAATCAAAGGGGCACCAATATACAGAGAGTCCTAAAAAATTCATGTCCAAAGAGCTCATTTCAGTCTTTGCTGAGTACTTTTAAACATGTAATAACAGATGACTTAGGTGAGCATTAATGCCCTGAATAGAGAGATGATTTAGTATTTCTGAAAATCTTTTATAGAAATATCAAAGTCAGTTGTTTTTTAAAAGATGGAAGGTACATGATACTATTTGATACATATAAAAGGTAGTACAAATAGAGATAGACTCTGCATTTTGTATGAAAATGAAGAATAGTTTTGACATAACAAAGATTAAGTAGTCTATATTTTTTACAAAATGTTGGAAGTATGTGTCTTAAATTGCCTATGTTTGGTAAATAGCATGTCTTTAGTTGAATGTCTCATTTTCATGTTGTCCTTAGCTGTAACCATAATATTTAAGTACAGGCTAGTACCTTTTATTTAGAATATTTCAATTTGATTTTCATTTCATTTCTCAGAAGAAGCCCTAATAGATGAATTGCCAAAGGAGAGCCAATGTACAGAGAGCCCTAGTACTTCATATCCACATAGGTTCTGTCAGTCATTGCTGAGTACTTTTAAACATGTGGTAACAGATGACTTAGGTGAGAATTAATGCCCTGAATAGAGAGAACAGACTACTCCTTTTCTATTGTTTACTTTCGTAAGGTACGGGAAAAATACGTCATGTATTTATGTGACGTCATGTTGTGACGAAGAGGTATCCTAAAGGGAATCTTATTTCGACGTTTCATTTGAAACAGCAATGATTTTTTAAAAAATCGTCTAAACTCGGCAGGGGAAGGGTTATAAAATTATTATTTTGGTTTTGGAGTGATATATGTGGATATATTACCTGTCAAGATAAAATATCACCCTCGCCTAACGGCTCGGGTGATATAAAATCTTAACAGGTAATATATCCACATATATCACTCCAAAACCAAAATAACATATATTACTTACACATGGTACTGAACACTTAACACTTGTATGAATTATCGAGTTCCAGCACACCAAACTCTGGAACATATTAATTTACCATTTGTAATGAAAATAATAATTTTTTGTGAAAAATATAAGTCTATATCATACATGTAACAAACAGTGACCTTTTCTTGGCCCACCATATGAAAAACGTGTTACTCATGTGTATCCATATGAAAAACATGTGTTTGCATCATATGTAAAACATATGGAGCACTTTTCTGGAAGAAACCATATGTTTTTACCATATGTAAAATATGTGGGTCACATACATTTAACATGTGGTGCATAATTTACCGGTGTACTTACATGGGTTTTGTCTGATATAATCATGGCCCTTTCTAAACTTTGAAAAAAAATGCATTATGCCAGCTCTTTTTGTTTTAAGAATAGTTTGTATTCACTGTCTTATGGCTCTAACTTGTTCATAATGTTTTATATATTAGATAATAATGGTAGCAATATGATATTTTATGGGGTTTCATATAGCAAAGGAAAACCCTATTCCTACCACTTCTTTAATCAGTACATATACTCTTTTCATTTAACGTCTATAATTAAATACCACTTATACTTTTATTTCAGATTTCCAACTGAGAGGTCAAGATTACATCATTTGAAGAGGAAATTCTATGAGAAATGTAGAATCCCAAACGTAATCGGTAATTGATCATTAATTACTGAACATTAGTTTTATATATACATATATATTAAAAGCAATGTTTTAAAATATAATAATTATGCTTTTGGAAATGCTTGTTACATTGTTTTATGTTTAAAATCATTTGATATCATTTCTACAGGCACAAGTGGCACTTCTTTGTATACAATCCTTACTAAGAAATATCAATTCAGCTTTTTTTAGTCCCCTACCGGTTTTTAGTCCCCTACCGGTTTACCGGAGGGGACTTTAGGTTTACCCTCCGTCCGTCTGTCCGTCCGTCTGTCAGTCCGTCAGTCCGTCCGTCCACAAAACTGGATCCCGCGATAACTTGAAAAGTACTGAAAATATTTTTATGAACTTGGTATATGGATAGATGGCAGTATGGAGATTATGCACGTCTTTTTCTTTTCTTCCTATGTTGAAAATTCTGGTTGCTATGGCAACAAATAGGCTGAAAATATGGCAAATTTTACACATAAACTGGATCCAGTGATAACGCAAAAAGTACTTGAAATATTTTTTATAAAACTTGACGTATGGGTAGATGGCAGTCTTGAGATTATGCACGTCTTTTTCTTTTCTTCCTATGTTGAAAATTCTGGTTGCTATGACAACAAATAGGCTGAAAATATGGCAAATTTTACACATAAACTGGATCCAGTGATAAAACAAAAAGTACTGGAAATATTTTTATGAAACTTGACATATGGGTAGATGGCAGTCTTGAGATTATGCACGTCTTTTTCTTTTCTTCCTATGTTGAAAATTCTGGTTGCTATGGCAACACATAGACTGAAAATATGGCAAATTTTACACATAAACTGAATCCAGTGATAACTCAAAAAGTACTGGAAATATTTTTATGAAACTTGACATATGGGTAGATGGCAGTCTTGAGATTATGCATGTCTTATCTGTTCTTCCTATTTTGAAAAAATATCAGTTGCCTTGGCAACAAATAGGCTTAAAACATGGCAAATATAACAATATTTGTGATTAGTCTAAAAGAGCTGAAAATTTTATGAAATTGCATCTTTAATTCAAGAGTTATCTCCCTGTTTAAGAATTTTGCTTTTAAAATGTTATATTTTGGTAACAGGGATGTTTCAAAATTTAACTTTAGAGTGTCTTCAGTCCGTCTGTCTGTCTGTTTCCTGTGATCACTTTTAAAGAACTTTCCAACAAATTTACTTCAAATAAAGAAAAATTGAAACATTAGTGAATGGCCCTTCAGAATGTTGATGGGGTTCTAACCGGTAGGGGACTTATGGATTGCTTGCAATACTATGATAATTGCTTGTTTTTGTAGGAGCAGTAGATGGAACCCTCATCCCTATTCAGGGTCCATCACAGGATGAGGCAGCTTATGTCTGCAGAAAAGGGTTCCATGCTCTTTATGTTCAGGCAGTAGTCGATGCTGAAATGAGGTACACTATTTTATGTCAAACATTCAAGTCCTGTGTTAAATTACAAAAAAAATATAAAATAGAATCTAATTTAGTTTCTTAATCCAAGAAGTGTCCCAGGAGGAACTTATTTTCATTTGACAACTGTTTAAATCAGTATAATGAAGATGAACTTAACATACACTTTTATAACATTAAAATGCTAAGGAGAAAAAAGGGAAGCATACTACTGGCAATTTATAAAAAAAAAGTACAACTTCAGATAAATTTATTAATTCAATATATTTCCTGTAGATTAATGTATCAAATTGATGTAGCTGTTGTAGATTTACTTATCAAATAAATATACTTCTTGTAGATTCACAGATGTTGTTTCAAGGTGGCCTGGTTCACAGCATGATGCGGCCATTTTCAATGCTTGTGGGTTAAAGGTGAAATTTTTCACAATCAATTTCTCATGACATGAATTAAAGCTGCATAACCCTTAATGGACTTCTAATTATATTAGTAAATGCTTGTGCTAACATCATACTAAATGATTAAGGACAAAAATATTTTTTCTTTCTGATTTTATCTAGCTTTTGTGAATTTTCTAAAGAAAACTATATGTCATCTGAAAATAACTGCTTTATGATAACCTATCATTTTTCAGACACATTTAGAACAAAGTAATAATGGGTTGTTATTGGGGGATAGTGGGTACCCTCTTAGGAGGTACCTCTTGACCCCAAAGGTGAATCCGACAACACCACAAGAGGAAGCCTTCAATAAACACCATAGCAGAGGCAGAATGGTGGTAGAAAAAGCCTTTGGTATACTGAAGTCACGTTTCAGGTAAAATATTGCAAATCATTCAAAGTAATTATTGTATTAGTTTAGTTTATACAAATTTATTTTAGTTTGATTGTGTTGGAAGCTATAAGCTTATTGAAACACTCTCGAATCCGTTCCTTGAACCAACCAGTACTAAGCAATGAATGTAAAGTTTCTTGCTCAAGGAAACAACGGCGTGGCCCTGACAGTATTTGAACCCACGCGGTCAGCAATCCTTAGATTAATAGTCCGACGCGTTAACCACTCGGCCACGCCGCCAAATTGTATTGATCCATTTTATCATAATGTGTTTCACTATATGACCTGTATTGATAATGAATTTACAATATGTTTAAATGATGCTGTCCCAACTTTGATCTCTACTTCTGGCCCTATTTTTGTGAAAATGTCATGCCACTGAAGTAATGACATACCACATGAAACGAATAACATACATAAGCCGCGTCACGACAAAACCAGCATAATGGGTTTGCGACCAGCATGGATCCGCGCAGTCTGATCAGGATCCATGCTGTTCGTTTACCAACCCTAAATCAAGTAGAAAAACTGTAAGCGAACAGCATGGATGCTGATCAGACTGCGCTCTGGTCTGGATCCCTGCTGGTCGCAAACCCATTATGTTGGTTATGTCATGACGCGGCTCATATATTTATGCCTTTATTGCAGATGCCTACACAAAAGTGGTGGTGTTCTACCGTTTTCACCAAAAAAGAGCAGCCAAGTTGTGGTAGCATGTATGAGGCTACATAACTTTTGTAAAACTAGAGGAGTACAAGAGCCTGTGGAGATCATCACACAGGATGATGATGATGATGATAATAATTTACCAAATGGAGACGACAGAAGTAATAATAACCTTAGACAGGAATTAGTTAATTTATTCTGAAAAAATGTTTTTAAGACATAGAAATTAAAATACAATTACTTGTTCTGGTCACTTGAAATATAACATTTCACTCAATTAAAACAATTAAATCTATGTTTTGATCTCAATTTAGCACCCATGTATTACTTAAAAGAATTACTTTGTATTTCACATAAACCAAAATTAGCACAGTACAGTAGTTAACTTATTGTCAGAGTCAATGATACTTTTGATAAGAAATTTTTTTATTTGTAATGAATAATAAACATTAAAGGGGTTAAGTAGTAATATTAAATAATATAAGTAAACTATACATGTGAAAGCTATTCAGTTAATCTGTTGAATATTAATTTGTGATTTCATGAAATACATTAATTCATTGTGAAAAATAACTACTAAAAATATAGCTTTCAGAAATATCCCCTTGTCTTACAACTATACCTGTTAAATATTAATAATTCAAATACTGCACATTTTTTAACATCATTTTTCATTGGAATACAATGATGTTTAAATTTATGATTGAAGAACTTTTTCCCTCTAAAATGTTGTTTGCTGTATTATGACTTTGTTACAAAGATTTCTGATAAGTTATATGGCCATTTAAAAGAATTTGTTTGCAAATTATAACCCTCACCTTGTGACTAGGTTATATAAGCAAACAACCATTTAAATGGGGTAATATAACCTGTCAAAATTCTTTTTTAACTAACAGTATAACAAGTTTCATGTTGATGTCTTTTATAGCTTTTAAATCATTCTATATTACAGGCAATTATGTTAAAAATTCTAAATTGCCTAAAATTCTAAGTTTAAAAAGGACTTAACTCTTGCAACTATCATAATTGCTCAACTGTTACTTCAAAACAAACATGGTTAAAACAATTCAAAATACAGATAGGACAGAAGTGTTTCCTGATAAAAATAGACACCAACACTATGTTAGGGAGGGTGGGTGCTTAAATGAAAATTTTACAATGACTATAAATTAATGATTAAGAAATAATATATCCTAAATTTTGATTTTTGTGCTAAAAAAACACTGTTCGAGTCCAGATGTAAGAAATAACATCACGGGGGCAAAGCCCCGTTGATATAATGCTGCACATCTGAAGGACAAACATTGATTTTAATTTATCAATGGTTAAATTTACTGATTGAGATATATTATTTCAATCCTAACACATGTCATTTAATAAATGCTGCAGTACCCGATATTAAGCTAACTTTTGCCTGTAAAGTTTCCATATTAATATTCAGCTCGTAAAATTTTTAATGGTTTCATCAAATGTCCAACTTAAGAATGTCAACATTGATTTTATGACCATCATAACACACAATTTCGGTTCTTCTGAGTTCATAAGGAAACATACATGTTGTGTTAGAATTTTAAATAAGTTTGTCTAATCTTTTTTTTATGCATCTAAAGACTGATTTAATGTTTTTAATGTTGAATTCAATTCTGTCATAATTGCAGTCTGTTGTTCAACAAGTTGATATATGTCATCCTCTGTTTTCTCTGAAAAATGAAATCAAAATAACTCAGTCTAAAAGATTGATGTATGTACAATTTTCATGTGCATACTTAGTGGAACAAGTTTAGATATGGTCAATTTGCAAAAAGTGCATTTAAGTTACAAGAAATTACTTCTAAAACACACTGCATTATATAAATAGTTTATATTCTGATTCAATGTGCAACTACTGTATTTCAATGTACTAATAATGCCTCAAATCAAGTTATGGGGGTTTTTGTGTATGAGTAGTTAAGGTTGTTTTCTTCACATCACCTGCCCCACACGGCTGTGTGTTTAAAACCCAACAGAGACTTTGGGTTTTTTTTTCCTTTTATGGAAGCTACACGTATCTATATCTTATGGCTGATCTGTGGTTCTACTCAAGTGCATGCTTTTCAAGGCCTCAGTTCGCAATCACTAGTATGTTGAAGCATGCAAGTTAGTAAATGAATAATAATAGAATTGGAGTAATACTATAACATAATAATACTTACTGTCATATTTTGCCTTCTTTGGCACTGGCTCATTATCACCTACAATTTAATGTGCACGAGTATTATTGAATTATTTCAAGCTTGAATAAGAAATAAAACGACAGTTGTTTGTGTTAATGAAGGTATTTTTTTCATAAATATATATGTATACAAGTTTCCAGAAGATTTTAGAAAGCTTTTCTTTTTGAGTTTTTGGCACACTTAACCTCAGTTAAATAGAATGCAACAATCCTATCATTTTTTATAAAAAATGACATGGTGTGACTATAAATAATTTCAACAATACATGTCAACATATATTATTGATAAGACATTATGTACTTTGTTAAATTGCTGAATAAACATTATGTAAAGTTAAGTTATGTTATTCTTACCTTCAAATCCTTTATCATGCAAAATTTCCTTTCTTCCCAAAGCTGAAAAAAGAAGCCTGTATTAGTTATTACATAACTTAAAAGACAAGTCACATGTCCATAAACTGCACAATGTGACATGCTAACTAATAAATGTGAATCTTAAGTATGTAACCTTCTGGTATAAGTATGTAGCCTTCTGATACGTAAAATTATGTAGTCTATGGATTGCTGCATAATTCACAATATTTGTGTGTCTTTTCTAATTGTATATTTCTGCTCATGACTGTATACCTACATGTATATAAATATGTATACATCTACCTAGATACCTATTATAGGAAATGACAGCTTAGTTTATGTAACATTATAATGTTAAATCACAGAGAAACAGATACACTAATCTACTATCATCCATAATAAATTCCAATATACATAATAGCATTTATGACTGAAAACATTGACTGCTTGACCAATGAAAGAGGAAATATTAAACTAATTTTGAGTAATTAGCTTTTGTCAATTAAGGATATTTGGAAACTTGATAATTACTATAACATTGAAAATAATGAAATTTCCGAACAAATTATAATAAATGTATTATCAACATGCTCACAACAATAAAATTTATATACATGTACTTACAGTTTGTCTCACTTCCAACAGGAAGGTCTGGGATTGTAAGGCCAGGATCATTATTTTCTGAAAATGGAATACATTATACAGTTTTATTTCATGCTTTCCAGTGTTTTATTGTAATATATAGATGATTATATTCTGATAAACCATTAGTGAAATTTATAAAATATAATTTTCATTGTAGCCGGACTATATCTGAATGCGGATGAAAAGAGAATCGTAACTAAATGGAATGACAGGCAGAGATAAATGCTGTCATGCGTAAATTTTGCTTCTTAAGGAAAAGAAAGTCGATGTCACCATACATCATGTTAAAAATGTAACAAAATTAGAGAAATTTAACAGAACTACATTTCAAAATTGATGATGTGACGTCATGATGTGATGAAGTCACAAAGGAGAATGCGCGACGTTACACGGCAAAATCAGTAAAGAATACTTAAAATCACTTAAATAGCATGAAATAAAAAGAAAAAAAATTATTTGTTTTACATATAAGATTGAAATATATTTCATTCGTGAACACCAGCTATTATATTTTCACTCATGGCTACGCCACTCGTGAAAATATTGCATCTGGTGTTCAATCAGTGAAATTATATTTCAATCTTACATGCAAAACAAACAAATATCCTCTATATATCAGTAACAGAAGTGAAAGTCTGAAGAAATTCAATCTATGTTTATCATAATTAATTTTATTTATTCTATGTTTAAACTTGGGAACAAATGTCTTAATTTTCTTAAATAGTCTATTCATTTAATACTGTTAAGATGTTTTGGATTAAGTTATTGTGCTTCACTTATAATTTATTTTAAGTAAATTTTGGTCATTCATCATGAAATTCATTCACAATTAATGACATGATCACAGTATCATTCTACATGTACTTATAAGTGCAATACAAAACTTTACCAAGAAAGGTGTCTGCACCATTTTCTATCCCTTCTACACTGCATTAGGGTATTGTCTGTAGAATCTGTGTAGAAATAGCCATGTATATAGAAAATTAGTGAAAAGTCAGGAGATTTGAAATGATAAACTGGTGTGTAACCCTTTACATATAATCTTAAAAAAGTAAGTTTATAGCTTCACTTGTTTCAGAAACAAAAAAGATATGCAGGATACTTTTTAAGTGGACATTACATTTTTCAAAAAGCAATGATGATGATATTTGTTTGTATGTAACATTTATTAAAGAAAAAATATAGGGAAAGGACAATACAGATCACAATAAACTTTACATATGAGATATTTGTATATAAGACAATGTTGATCTTTAAGAAACTGTCAATGTCAATGTCAGAACAGTGTTGCAGAAAAAATGCAATTATTAGGAGGAAATTTGCAATGGGAAGTAATTTAAAAGCTGGAAAAACAGTTTATGTATCTTCAGACAATGTCTATTTTTTTCTATGATGGTTAGACCATACTAACTATTAAACCTATTGATACCTTGCTCTCCCATGCCTTCAGGTCTAAGATAGGGGCTGGGCCACCACCTGTTTTTCTGGTTTCCTCAATATACTGTATAGATTTCTTCTTGGTTTGTGACTGAAAAGATAATCAATCATATGTATTAGCCTTAAATAAATTTCCATTTGTGTCTGTAATGAATGCAGAAACTAAAAGTATCTAGAAACTGTCAACACCTAATCTCACCTTCTTGTTCTTGTGATGTAATATAAATACATCACTTCATGAAAATATGTAGAAGGGCAGAGTATTTACAGGTAGACGGGTGAAAAATAACTCCTGCTTTTACAGCAAAAAGGTACATGTTACCCTTTAATATGAAATGACTTGTTACTTATAAATGTGCTGTATGTTAAAAAAAATGATTACAGCATAAACATTAACAATTTTGAAACATCTAAATCTTTTACAAATTAGGGTCAAAATGTCATGCAATGAATAAAATGTGGGTGTTGAAAAAATTCAGCAGGAGAGAAAGGTTGACATTCAAAATACTTTATTTTGGTAAAAGATCTATTTTTGGTTAAATATTCAGATAAACAAAGCTTTCAAAT